AGGCTGTTTTTTTTTTTTTTATGCTGTTGCGTGTTTAATTTACTGTTTGGACGGTTTTAGTTCTGTGTAATCCACTAGGCTATTTTTGTTGTTTCCTATGCTATGGGAAGTTCCATCCAGAAAATCACTAGCCGCGTCTACGTCTGGAAATACCCCTTGTGTTTTCTTCTATGACTTACAGAATTTCTGGTCTGATGTTCGGGTCTTTGGCCCACTTGCAGTTGATTTTTAGATAAGCCTCCTGTACATAGATGTTCATATTTTACCCATTATTTAGGGAAGATTTCAGCAATTATTTCATTGGACGATTTTCTGTGCCTTTAACTTTAATCTTTTCTGGTATTCCATACTATTTCTTGAGGCTTTGGGGGATTATATATTTTATTTGATTCATTGACTTCCTTATTTCCAAGGTTTCTGCCTGTTTCTCTGCAGAAGGCTCATTTATAGCCTACTCTGTCTGCCTAATTTCATTTAGCTATTAATCTATGTTCTTACAGCTCTCATTGTGGTTATTTCACAATCATTCTTTGAGATTTCATCCACTTGAATTTCTTAGGAACCCGTTGCTGGAGAATTACTATGTTCTTTTGGAGATAACCCTGCTACCCCAACCCCGTTTCATACATTTTTGTGCCCCTACATTGAGATTTGCACATTTGCTGGGTCAGATGTCTTTTAAGACATGGCCTTAGTAAGTGCCTTTCTTCTGAAGATGTGTCTTAGAGTGTTAGTTTGTTCTACAATGTTAATTTTGTTTCTAGCTGAGTATTGTAGTATAGTTCCACTATAGCTTCCATGGCTATGACTTATGAGTTTAGGCGCAATACAGTGTGTGGGGGAGTCTCAGGCCCATTCTTTCTATGCACCATGACAGTAGAGATGCTTCTTCAGTTCTGATAGGTGTAACATTGACAGCAGAGGCCACGGCATAGTCCTACTATTTTGTTGGTGGCCCCATCAGATGTTGGTGTTTTCATACAACTATTGGTACTCTGCTACTGGTAAGGAACTCTGTGTGGGGGAGCCAGGACTCTTACAGTGGGGCCCACTGCACTCCTAGTGGGGTGCTCCTGCCCAGTCCTAATAGCATTAAAATCAGAATGGACCAGATGGCAGCCACACAGAAGTGAGGTAGAAGCATGAGCTCCAATGTTTCTGCTACGACAGTGACTGTCCCTGTCAATGAGTGGGACCAGGGGCAGAGCTGAGCCACATTTCTTTCAGCTGGTTCTATTTTGTCAGTGTATGCCTGATGTAGGCCTGGACTCATGTGAACTCATGTGGTTGCCTAGAGCTCTCCAATCAGGCCCCTGTATGCTTGAGAATTATGAGGGTGTTTGCTGCCATTCAGCCATTGAAGTCAGCTGAGCTGTTTGAAGCTATAGGAATAAAGCCACTAAAGATTTGCATATCAGCTTTTGTTAAACATAAGTCTTCTTTGACTTTGTCCCTTGAGGTCCATGTTTAAAAATACAATTGCTGGATCACATATTGGCAACCAGGTAAAAATTTAACGACCTCGACAAACTGTTTCACTTTGTGCTCCCCGTAGCAATGGACCAGTGGAAGAGTGGCTCTGCATCTTTGCCAGAGTCCGACGTTACCTCCATCTTCCATCTGAGCTGTGCTGAGGGGGCACACAATAATGTTCCATTGTGGTTTTAATTTGTTTCCCCAATGGCTAATGATGAACATGACTTGTTTGACATCTGTGTAATTTCTGAAGTATGAAAGGTGTCTTCATTTCTTCTGCTTACATTCTAATTGAGCTGTTTGCCTTTCCACTGTTGAGTTTTAAGAAATTTATTTATTCCTTTATTGCTCTTAATTATGTGTGTGGAGAGGTAGGGGTGGGTTTGTGCCCATGAGTATGCTGTCCACAGAGGCCAGAAGGAGGCATCAGATTCCCTAGAGCTGGAGTTGCATCCAGTTCTGGGCCATCTGATGAGGATTCTGGGAACTGAACTCAGGCCTCTCCAGCCCCATTGTGAGAGGTCTACATGTGTTCTTGATGCTGCCTTCACTTTTGCACTGTGAATATTTTGTGAATATTTTTAATTCTGAGGATATCTAGTTTCTTGAGTTTTCATTCTATGGATCATACTTTTGATAGTAAATATAAGTACTCTACCAACTTTTAATACCAAGGCTTTCCCCCCCTATTTTCTGTGTGTGTGTGTGTGTGTGTGTGTGTGTGTGTGTGTGTGAGAGAGAGAGAGAGAGAGAGAGAGAGAGAGATTTGATGTCTATTGTAGGTGGTGGGATATTTTCCCACAGGAGATAACTCAATTATTCCAGCACCAATTGTTGAAAATCTGTTGTGAGATAACAGATGATTCTCATTGGTTGAAAACATTTGCCGAGTTCACTTTTCTTTTACCATAAGAAACTTGGGCTTTGAACTTGGACCTGATGGCTGTTATTTAAGCTACACTGCTAGAAGTTCTGGGATCTGAGAAGCCATGATTAGGAAAGCTGCGAACTAGATAGTATCTGAGGTTCCTTTTTGCACCAACTTGCTAGGATATGTAAGAGGTCAGTGTAAGAACTCACACTTCCCCTCATATGTTAGCATGGAGTTCTTCTCTGAGTTCCTGGATGGCTATATACATGGCATGCTTGTTGTCCTACCATCCATTTTTAATTAACTATGATAGGCTTTGTGTAGCCAATTCACTCACACTTTATAAGTTGGGTCTGAGGCTTTATGTCAGAGACTGAGAGCATTAGATATTGAAACTTTACTGTGACATCACCCATTCCATAAAGTCATATGTCATGTCTCCGAGACAGAACAGGGACCAAGTCACATACAAAACATGGTCCATTATAAAGCAGGCAGCAACACTGTCTTGCCCACCTGTATAGTTCCTGCTGGTTTTCTCAAGGTGCTCACAAGGAATGCTTTCAATAGTTTTCTGAGATTAAAAAGTCAGTCTACTTGTTATGTCCATCTTTGTTGTTTCTCTGTGTAGCTGTGACTGTCCTGGAACTCACTCTGTAGACCAGGCTAACTCAGAGATCCATATGCCTGTCTTTTAAATGAGGCAAGTGATGCTCTGCCAGAGTGACCTGCCTAGTAGTAGAACCAGCAAGTGGTAAGTAGAATTCAGGGAGTTTTGTTTAAAAGTTGGAGTTGAAAAGATAGCTTTTATCTTTAGAATTGGGCTAATAACACAATAACTCAAATACAAATGAAGTTAAATAAGATTGAAATAATTTTTTTGAAAAGCGTGTTACATTTCCAAATATCCCTTGTTAAAATGATGGTTATTAATACAGGCTTGGCTAGAATAGGCTATGATTTCCTGCAGACTGTTGGGGGCTTGATGATTTCTACTCATAGAAAATATGTTTGTTTACATCATAGTATATTATCTATTTTTCCTAGTAGTGACCAAATTGTGAACTTCCACATTAAGAATCAAAAATATTTGAGAGGATAGCTGGACTTAATGCTTCTATATACTTGCTTTAGTAGTTATTTTTCAACAGATGGACTATTACACTTGGCTGTGTTTCTGTGACAATGTGGTGAGTGAAGGTGTCAACAGACAGCATGCAAATACTCAAGGAAAAACCCTTCCTGTATTAATTGTTGGGAAAAAACAGAATTCTAGTGTGCCAAGAAACAAAGAAAAAGAGAGAGGGAGGGGAAGAGAGGCAAGGAGAGAGGGAGGAAGAAAAGATAAAGAAAAAGGAAGGAAGAAAGAAAGAAAAAGAAAGAAAGAAAGAAAGAAAGAAAGAAAGAAAGAAAGAAAGAAAAGGTACAGAGAAACTTGTGCTAGGGAGTGCACATGCCTTTAATTGCAGTACCCAGGAGGCAGAAGCAGGTGGATATCTGTAAGTTCCAGGCCAGCCTGGTCTATAGAGCAAGTTCCAGGACATCCAGGGCTGTTACAGAGAAACCCTGTCTCGAAAGAAAAAGGAAAGAAATTTGTACTATCAAATCCTTAGTCTATGCTATTATGATCATAATTTATGTGAGTTTGAAGTTTCCAGCACTTGTATTTCCTTGGTGGGGAACCTGAAGAGTTGGAGAAGGGTGAGATGGTGAGGAGCATCATTATCCAATAGAGACTAAGGATGCATAAAGCTCTTATTCTTCCTTTGATTGTGGGTAGATGGACACGACTTCCTCTTGCTGACTTACTCTATTTCTGTGACTACACAGAAAGTGTAACCTCCACAAAAGGCAACTGTCGGAAATATGTGTCTTATTTAGAAAGAGAAAATTCCAGGCCACGTTCATCAATTCAGTGAGCCTCTCTACCCCTGTGTTTGCCCCTGTGGTGGACCACCTTGCACTGTTTCTGGAATCACAAGTAAAACAGTAAGGGTTGGGGTGGGGAAGGTTGTCATGGTTACAGTGACAAGACATCTGAGATATATCAGGTAGAAGCCAGAGTCTTAAACACACTACAGTACAGAGCACATTCTGAACTTGGAAGAAATGCATTGCACCTGAATGTCTGGCTTGATATTCATCTGGTGTGTAACTTGTCCCTGTTTAAAATAAAACGGCAGAGTGAGTTTTGTGGCACAAGGTATATCTTACATGTTTTAATGTTCACAGTGTTCAGTCTCCACCCACACCTCTGCTTCTTAGTTGTACTGTGCAGCACATAGCCTGAAAAATTCTAATATTAGACTCTTGACCTGGGACTTCTTTACATTATAGAAGCAAGAGCAAACTGATACTGCAAATAAGACATATTTCCATACTTAATACTGCTGAAATTTTATATAGAGGGAAGTTCCACTGACCATGAATTCTAGATTTAAAGAATGATCATGGTAAGAGAGCATTGCTGTAGAGATGCAAGAGCTAATTTGTTCCCCTCTTGCTGCTTGCACATACAGAATCATCCAAAGAAAAAACATGTGAGTCTGAGTCATTACTCTGGGAGGTCCCTCTGCTAAAGTGGAAGCCTTCCTTGGACTCTCTTTCTGTGAGTTGTATCAGCTCAAGACCATTTCTATGCCTGTCATTACAGATGGCGTTTAATGACTGCTTCAGTCTGGCCGATCCTCACAACCCTCGCCCAGGGGACTTGATCGAAGTGTTCCGTCCTGGCTATCAGCACTGGGCACTGTACTTGGGTGATGGCTATGTTATCAACCTCACACCTATAGGTAAGATTTGTTTCCAGGGGGCTCCTGGGAGATTTTTAGTTGCTTTGAAATTAGAAAGGATCATGAACAAAATCATAAAGCAGATTAAATAGAGAAACAAAGTCCAACTAATTTAGAAAATGATATTCAAAGACCAATGTATCATTTAAAAAGATCCCACAGACTAAATAACATTGAATTAAAAGAACCTCTATATTAAAAGAATTCCTAATTACAAATAAGGAAGACATTGACCACAAACATAACTAAGTTCTATGTCCTTATGTCTCACACAAGCAGAAGGTTGTTACGATTAATCTTTCCACCAAAAGCCACCCAAGCCCTACTGCCATGTGGGCGGTCTCTGCCAGCTACCTGAGTTCTGCCTGCCCAATTAGGACCCAAATTAATGCACAGAGACTGGTATTAGGAACAAATGCTGCTTGGCCAATGATTAGGATTCTCATCTGATAGCTCAGTCTTAATTATCATAAATCTGTATATTTTATAAGACTTATCTGACGCCTTACATTGGCATCCTCCCTTGTCAGTGGATCATATCGAGCTGCAGGAGGAAGAACGTAGGGGAAAAGGGACCACTTCCTGCTTGTTCTTCCTTAAATATGAGTCTCCCTGCTATGTCACTTCCTGCCTGGATCATCACTTCTTTACTACATTTCCCAGAATCCTCTTTGACTCCTAGTCCCATCTAACTTGCTGCCTCATTGGCCAAACAGTACTTTATTCAACAATCATTAAGATGAACATACACAGAAGTACATTCCCCATCAGGAGATTTTAATTAATTTGGCAGCTATCAATAGGTTGTGCAGTATGTGTCTAATGCTAGTCTAGGCACCAGGGCTATATAGATAGTTCCATGGTGGCACTCACATTTTCACAGACAGAGGGAGAGAACGAGCAAATTATAGCTGTGTTAGGAAGGATGTGGAAAAATAAGTCAAGAAGGTGTTTTGTGAACTGCTGAATATAGGAAGATAGGAGGGGGTCATGGAATACTGTAATTAGGAAACTTCTGGAAGAAGCAGCAAAAGAAGTGAAACTTCAAAGAGATAGGAAAACTAGTTCCCAGGGTACCTGGGAAATTGATGCCTTGGAGCAGAGACAGTGAATACTGAGATCCCAGGCCACAACTGGGAATACTTGAAAACAGTTAATAAAAGAAGAGAACAGAAATTTAAACTTTGTATTCACCTGTAACTTATAGACAAAGACACTGATAGATTTCTCATGTCTGTCTCATTCGCAAAGGATAAAATGATGGCAACCAGTGGAATTAATGCAAGTATAGGAAATAGAGACTGATTCCATTCACAAAAACATTTTAACAGAATGTGCTAAGAGTCTTAAAAGATTTCTTAAACTCTGCATCTGATTTTGCTTGTAGGAGTCTGGGGAAACATTTAGACATGTGGACAAATTTCCTTTTTAATGGTTTAGAAATAAGACAATAGCTTAATTTTCAACATGGGAGTGGCTGGTTAGGCACATGATTTAGCCACTGGGTATTAGGTATTTGTGTTTGTTAGAATTCTCTAGTTGTATATAGCAGAAATAAAACTAGCACTAGCTTAAGCAAACAGGCAAAAAGACAAGTCCATGGCTTCATGGGAGGAGGACTCAGACAGGTGGAGCAGGTCTCAGCAGTTTTCAGGTCTAGGAATATCATCACATGAGGACCATCAGACTCAGATGCCACTTCCCCTTTCCGGGTGGTGCTGTCATCCTCCTGTCTGTTCACAAACTGAGATTCAGTTTCTTAGAGTTTTATGACTCAACAGGAAAGAGCTAATCTGTTCTCTGTTTATTGGCATTTAGAAATCATGGAGAATGACTCTTAATTGTTCCATTGTGATCCACAAAGCCATTTCTAGAGAATAAGATGTAATACAATGACTGGCTGTGTAAGATGTAATACAATGACTGGCTGTGACAGGCATTTGGGGGAAGAAATAGGCAATGTTGGAATGGGCACGAAAGCCACTATGACAGCTATTTCAAAAGCATATTCTTGGGCATGTTTAACTATTCAGGAAATGATCTTAATACAATATTTAAAAATTTCTAATTTAAGTGCAATATGTTACATAATTCCACACTTAAAAAGAATACCATATACATCAGGGTATGCAGCATCTGTTCCCATATACGTCCAGTGTCTACAGTACTAACTGATGGATGCTGCTCTGTTGAGACCAAGACAGAAAAAGAATGGAGAAACGTTTTGACTTCAGTCACAACTGAAAGAGAAATTCACATAAGTCATTTTCTGTAGAGTCCCTTCCTCACAGTCAAGAATGTGGTGGCCATGCACAGCATGTAGACACATGTAGAGAGAGGGTCCTGGCACTAGGCCACATGCCATGACGAGTCATCTGTCAGTCTCTGGTACTGACATAGCAGGACCAGGTGCAAAGTTGCCTGGGCATCTAGGCAATGATGACTGATAGAGGTATCTCAGATAAAGAGAAGAGACATGCAGGATTGTCCAGGCAGCTAACACCTAGCACGGTGCCTCATCTATGTGTAGTGTCTACTGAAGTTAGCTTCAGGTATAGAATGTTCATTTGCTGGCCAGAGGAAAAGCAGGAGTTTAGCTGGTTCCTCACAGGACTGTGAAAATTTTATAGCCACAAATCTGGGCTTGCATTGAAACCTAGGGAACAGCCAGTGTATAAAGAAGTAGGGAGGGCAGATAGGTTGTTAAATGACATAGAGTCAAAACACACTACTCTAACCCCTAAGATTTGGAAGACTTCAGATGCTGAGAAGAAACAGGCACAATAGAAAAACTGGGCAATAATCTTATCCATACATTGCTAGAACTCTATGCAAAGATCTCTCATGATAATGCCAGTCGTTGATCAGGCAGAGAAGTCCATGCAACTTGTGTTGTCACTAGTATAGTGCCATAATCGATAACACAGTGTGTGTGAATAAGATCAAGGACTTTGGGTTTATTCCATAAGGATCAGGGGTCAGTCAAAGTTCCCCAGCATCTCTAGCATTCCTAGATGACACTGGCATTCTGTGGACTGGATCACTATGCTCCACTAACCAACATTCTCCTTACAGATGGCGTCCCTTCACCATTTACAAGCGCCAAGTCTATGTTCAGCACAAAGGCTTTGGTGAAAATGCAGCTTTTGAAGGACGTTGTGGGAAATGATACATACAGAATAAATAACAAGTATGATACAACTTACCCTCCCCTCCCTGTGGATGAAGTGATACAGCGGTCCGAGTTTGCTATTGGGCAAGAGGTAGCCTATGACTTATTGGTCAACAACTGTGAGCATTTTGTGACCTTGCTCCGATATGGAGAAGGAGTGTCAGATCAGGTGAGTTTGTTGTTTTGTTTTTGGAGGTACAAGAAGCTTCTTGTGTTGAGAAAATCCTGTTATGTTAAGTTCTTAGGTTTCCACCAAAAGGCAAACAATAAGAAAATATAGAAATGAAGGGCAGAGAAGGACACTGCTAAGAATATAATAAGTTAGTCAACAAACAGAGTAAAATTTGGACATCTTGAAATTTGGGCTAGGAAGGACTTGAAGAATCAAGTCCATAGCTTCTTATTAGTCTTATTGACTCCACTTAGACACAGTTTTCTCCATTACTCCCCCCAATAGCAATCTCAATTCACCAACCCCATGTATGAGGGTTAATTAGTAGATTCTTCTCCAGTAGGGAATAGTGGGCAACCAATGACATGCCTTGATGGGTTGGTAGATGTTTCCTGTTTCCTTACAATATCAGTTTTCAATGAAATGTTATTATTTTAAGTAGATATTTGATTCCCTGGGCTTCCAGATAACCTCTAATATATCAATTGACTGCAGAATAACTTGCAATGATGTAGATTTCCAGCACTATTTTGTAGTATTAAAACAGATTCCCAGAAAAGTGAACATTTACCTCCCTTGCCTTTACCAGGCCTGTCTTCAGGTCAGTGTGTTTCCATCTCTAAGGATGTAACCCAAGGATGTAAGAGAATGAACAAATAAAACTGTTAGAAGGGAGACACTTCTCATCCAAAACACATACAAACGTGTGATTCTTTAAACTTAAACAGCCCAAAAAGTTTAAAGACTATTAGCCTCCAGTAAGTTGTTTCTTGAAAAGGAGATTAAGATTCAAAGAAAAATAACAAAACTTGAACATATTGTAATAACCTAAACTTACTCAAGGCTTCCTGTGTCTTAGAATAGCTACTAAACAATGTTCTAGGAAGTGAGGTTCACTTCTTCTCAGAACTAAATTCAGAAGAGTAGGAGACAGAATATGATGAAAGGCCATGTATATTTTCTTTAGAAAAGAACTTATTGACCATGAGATCCTATGAAATACATTAGCAGTGAATGTTCATATAATATAATATATATATTTTGAGCTACAACACAGAGACCACACATAAATTCCCCCTTGTCTTTTTGTTGACAACTTTGTTAGGAAACAGGTTCCATCTGTCTAATTGGCAATTATCTAGCTAAGTGGCACATTCATTACCCTAATAAAGAGCATGCATCATGCTGTGGATATATAGTGTCCCACAGAAGGCTTGCATGGCTTACTCCTCAGCTGGTGACTGTTGGTGAGACATAACCAGATTAAGGGGTCTTCAGTAATGATTACGTTCTTCACTGCATTGGCAATAATATTCATTTAATTTCTGCAAATGGGGCAGGGCAGTGATCAAAGAATACAAATTTCTGTTATATCAAATAAATCAATTCTAAGATCTACTCTGTAACATAGTACCAAAGACTAGCAAGCCTGTGCTTTAATTATAAATTTATTTTATTTTTTATTTTTATTTGTGCCAAGAAGGTAGCTCTTAGGGTTGAATACCTTTACAGCAACCACAAAGCCAAAAAAAAAGAGATAAATCCACCAACCAACTAACTGAAAATCCAATTCAAAGCAACAGAATCAATGATGATGGTTGTAAGAAACCTATGGAGGTAATAGATAACTGTGTGGCATTGATTATGATGACATTCTATGGATGTAAGCTTACCTCCAAATATATCAACTTTTATATATTAAATAAATATTTGTAGCCCTTTGCCTGCCAATAATGCTTCAATAATTTGAGAATGTGATTGAATAAGAACAGATCACAATAATCTTGCTTTGAATTTAGTCTGAAATTGACTATCTTTTTACTTTTCATATCAAGACTTAAAACCCATGGGGGTTTATTTCCTCAACAAATAGTGGGACCTGTCTCTAGCATATGCTGGTGAAAATAGTGCAAGGGTATCCTCGGGAATCTACCTGAGTGCCAGGCCTCTACTGGCATGAGCTAGTGTCCCATCTTCAGTCACAGGCTGGATGACTTTGGGTACATTGTATATGCCTTTTACTCTCTCAAGTTAGTTTTTCTTTTAAAGATTATAGATGTGTTTGAAGTCTCTTGCTTAGCTATACTACAGGTTATTTGTCCCAATGAACATATGTTATGTTTTGGATATAGCATCCCACAAAAGGCTCATGTGGCGTCTTTCACAGCTTGTGTCTGTTTTGTTGGGAAGTAATCAGATCAAGAGGTCTATTATCTGATCGATGGATTCATCTATGGATAATTCCTAATCTAATGGCATTATTGGGAGGTTGTAGAAACTAGATGGGGCCCAGTTGGGAGAAGCAGATGGAAGGTACCTCTGACGTAGGCTTCTTGTCTCCACCATCTCTCATGTTTCTTTTATTTTTGCCTGTCCCAAGGTGAGCTGCTTTCCCCTGGGACAACCCAGCCTTACTGTTTAGTGACCTTGAACTTAAAAATGTTTCTTTTTTTTAAATGCATAGAAATGATTAAAAGGGCAGAAAGATTATGATCCATTTATCTTTTCCACTGTTTTCTGTAGTTTTACAAACCCAACAGGCAATCATTAGAATAGTTTTTAGTATTACAGCATTGTCACGGACTGTAGAGCAATATCACTGCTCCCTACACATATATAGCCTCCACCATCAATGACTCTATCAATATGCTATTGTTCTAGAATACTGGCAAGCCAACTTTGAAAATGCATGTCAACCAAAGACCACCGTTCACACCAGAATTTCCTTTTTGTGTTGAACATTTTATGAATGTAGTCAAACATATAATGACATATGCATCATTATAGTATCGATAATTTTCCTGCACTGAAATCATTCTGTAGACTACCTAATCATCTCCTTTCACCCTAGACCTGGGCAACTTTATTGGATTCTTTTTCATTGCATGCTTGTCCTTATCTTTGTTGAGTGTCATATAGTTGGAATCAGGTCATGTCTTGCCTTTTGGTGGCTGTATTATTTTTGCATTCCTACAAGCACTAAATGACATTTCCCATTATGCTACATCCTTGTCAATGTTTGGTGACATCAGTGCTTGGATTTAAGCTATTATGATAAGTTTGTAAATGGTCTCTATCTCATCACCTTAATTTGTAGTTTCCTAATTATGTGTGATATTGAGTACCTTTTCACATTTATTTTCTCTGTGTGTATCTTTTGTGATATATTGCTTGATATCATTTTGCCTATATCCAAATTTAAGTTGTTTATTTTTCTATTTATTTTTAAGACTAATTTGTATATTTCGGATGAGTCTTTTAACAAATTCCTCTTTTGTAGATGTTCTGTAAAATGTGGCTTTTTTTCAATACTTTTCAAAATTTCCATAAGCAACATTTTTATTGTTATAATTCAAATATGCCACTAAAAATGTCTACCTCTGTAAAAGATGGTCACAGCTTTCAGTAAGCCTAGACAAGTCAGTATTTAAAAATACCATACCTGTTCTTTAGTGCATCAATGAGTCATCGAGTTTCAGAAAACAGACACACTAAATCTACAGCCATGTATGAACCGCTATGCTGCTGTCATACATAGCCTCAGATCCAGCCTGTTCTTGCCAGGTTCAGGATTCTTAGAATGAGTCCTTTAAACATGGTCCTCAAACATAAAATCCTGAAAATTCTACATGTTTAGGGTCAGATTGGTAAATTTAAAATCCTGAGTAGGCCACAAAGTAAAAGTTCCCTGTAGATGTTGGTCCACCAAGATCACTGTGAGATGTTCAAATCCTACAAGTCAGTTCCCACAACACATAATTTCAAGAGATTGTCCCAGTTACATGAGATTTTCCTATGTAGAATGAGATGAAGTAAAAGAGCACTTGGGATTTGAGAAACAGTATGTACCATGCTATGGGACAGGCTTTATCATAATGGTCTCTGCCCTTTGACTAAGTTGTATATCCCTTTTTTAAGCCTCATATTTATGAGGTTTCTCCAATGTCTCAGGTTTCTAGAGGCTGAAAGATTCCTAGTTGGTTCGGCTTGCATCTAGCTGGGGCAACACCAATCCCAGGATCCCACCATATCCCCAGGCTTGGAACCCTCTGTCATTTGACTCCATTTGATGCCTATTGCACTTTCATGTTTCTCAGTTCCTGTCCCGTTTCCCTGTGTCAGGATTTTGTTAGTTATGAGGACCATTTTTTTTTTTTGCATCACTCTCTATTATCCTTGGGAGTTTTCTGTACACTGTATTTATTTCCCTGCCTCTTTTTCTTGATACACTATGTGGTTACCTTTGATATTTTTGGCAAATAATTTAGGTAATGATTAAAATTATAAAATTAACATGAAACAACTAAGTAATTAAAAGTAAAATAACAGAAGAAAATAGGAATTTTTTCAGGGAAGGCTGGGTTGTTTGCATGACCCTTCTCTCCACCAACCGGAGATTGGACAGAGGCAAAGTTTTACTTTCATTCTCTTTTAATGACCAGGAGCATCCTAGGAGAGGAAAATGTTAGCTTGCAGGTTGCAGTCCACCCCTGAGGGTTGTCAGGGCAGGAAACCAAGCAGGTACTTTGAGGCAGTCCTGCATGCTGTTCTACACAACACTATCTCCAACCAAGGAAATTACATCAAACAAGTACAGCAAGGGGGAACTACTTGGTTTCTGGCTTGTGGGCTGGTTTATACCTACATGGCTTTCTTATGCAGCCCAGGATCACCTGCTCAGGGAATGGGACCACCAACAGTGGACTGGACCCTCCTACATCAATACCCCATAGACATACCCACAGACCAATCAGGTCTGGGAAATCTCTCAACTGATACTCCCTCCTCAGATGATTCTAATCTGTGTCAAGTTGGTAGTTAAAGCTGATTGAGAAAGACTAGGAGTCACAGTTGTAGGCCTAGTCCCTTCTGACTACAGGCTAACAGAACAAAGTGAACATATTCTGTAAACTCATGGAGCCTTCCACATGCCTCTGTCCTGCCAGTTTGCAACAGGGCAACAGCAGTGAGGAAGACAGTGCAATGTTTCAGAAATATGTAAGTGGAGGCTGCATGGTTTTTTTAAAAAAAAGAGCCTAGACAGAGGAAGCTATCAACTGTGACCTTGGCCAGGTTTCCAGATGTTAGACCAGATATTTGAGAAAATTTTTTTCTTTATTTGAAAGCCCTGACTCTTGAGTCCTAGAGACTAAATGTTGTCTTCTGGGTCTGTGATGACTCTAGATTATCTGAATATGACCTTTCAGTCATAAAACTGCTCTCAAATCCATGAGGATGCAAGGCAAATATTAGCTGCGCTCCATGGAAACCATGAATATCCATTAGTTGCCCTCACCATGATGATGATTAATACTCCAGTGGCCAAGAACTCTTTTACAGACAATTGAGTTTGAAAAAGGCTTATTCTGTCTATATGAAAACCCATTCTGTCTATATAAAATCCATGGCACTTGACTAATATTGACTCTTGGTTTCCTGTGATAAAACACTGTCCAAAAGCACAAGTTAAGTATTAATTTTAGGGTTAAGGTTAGGCTTAAGAAAAGGTTTATTTCAGCTTACAGGAGACATTTCATCAATGCAAGAAGCTAGAGCAGGAACTCACACAGGTGTCAAGTCAGAACCGTAGAGGAGTGCTGCTTACCAGCTTGCTCTCCATGGCTCACTCACCTTGCTTTCTTTTACAACCCAGGACCTCCTGCCCATGGGTGACACTGCCCACAGTCAGCTAAGCACTCCCATACCAATTGTTACTCAAGATGGTGCCACACACATGCCAACAGGCCAATCTGATGGGAGGCAGTTCTATATTGATGTCCCCTCTTCCCAGGTGACTCTAGTTTGTGTCAACTTGATGCAAACTGAGCTGCACATGTGCTTACTATAGCCAGCAAATAAGAGCTTATAGCTATTAGCTCAGATCATACTCCTGGACTATTTGAGTAATAGGCATCCTTTGGTTAGACAGAGGTACACACACACACACACACACACACACACACACACACACACACTTATTCTATCTAGTACAGATCAAACACAACTGTGTAGAGGCTGCTAGAGGGAGAACATGCATTTATGAAGCTTTGACTTACATCTAAGTATCTTGGAGGTATGATCTTGGGCAAAAGAATCATTTACAAGTTTTGTAGAAGAGCATAACGCTCCCTATCTCACCAGAGGATTGGGATGAGCAACCAGGACCCATGTTTATGCAAAATCTACACACTGCCAAGCGCTCTAAGTGTCAGAAATAGAAAACTAAGTGTGTTTGTATCTTTTGCATAACCAGGTGTAGTGGCACACACCTTTAATCCTAGCACTTGGGAGGCAGAGACAGGTGAATCTTTGTGAGTTTGAAGCCAGCCTGATTTACAGAGTGAGTTCCAGGACAGACAGGGCTGTTACATAGAGAAACCCTGCATATATATATTATATATATATAATTTTATTCATATCATATTTTACCTTGGCACTGGACTTTAAATACATTCATTACACATTAAAATAGATCTTTGGTTTAGGAAACAAGCCAAAGCTTCAAGAGAACACTAACATCTTTAGATTAAGATCCTCTTTTTGTTTTCTGTTTCCTTTTAGGCCAACCGAGCAATAAGCACCATTGGGGTGGTGGCGGCTGCTATTGATATCTTCACATTCCTCGGATTGTTTCCAAAGAGACAAAGAACAAAGTATTAGCAGCTTATTGAAGAGATTGGAATTAAAAGAATCTGTGAGGAGAAAGAGATTCTGGGGTGAATACTTATTTTGAATGCATCATTATTTCTCCCGGTTCCCATGATGGATGGCTGACTCTGTAATAAATTGCTTGCTGATTTTAATCTTATCGTTGAGACAAAAATTTTTCCCCACTAGTATAGACTTGATGTGGCAGTTTGAGCAAAAAACAGTTGTCTTTTGATGGATCCAGCTAAGGATCTTAACAAAACCAATATCACATTTTATCTCCTATTGTAAATACTGTTTTCCTTTCCCCTAAGAACAGCTATTCTGTCAGAGGTGTGGAGAACCGTTTACATATGCTTCTGAAAGTCAGTTATTAGGGCCAACATCTAAATTCATATTCCTTTTCTTGTCAGAAAAAAAGAAATGTGGGTATTTCCAGTATTTGGCTGAGTAACTCAAGGATCTCTGAATGGCAAAATATTTGTTAGTAACCCCATATTGCTGCATCTGTATAGGTGTGAGCATGCAAGAAGAGTGTTGGAAGGGCTTTTGTGTATGCAAGTTTGGGGTGCTTATAAATGGTATGCATGTGTGGGGACAGTCTTGAGTGACACTTGTTGCTCTCTGCCTTTTTTTCTGAGACAGAATATATTGTCCTTCACAGCTCATGGCAGATTAGCTAGCCCATTAGCTTCCAGAAAGTCTCTTGTCTCTACCCCCATCTCAATGTAGGAGGTCTGGGATTATAGAAGTGTACTTCCAAGCCAAGCTTCTATGGACTCTGGGGATCTGAACTCAAGGCCTCATGCTCATGTGTAAAATGCATTACCCACTGAGCCATCTCCTGGCTTTCTGCTGAACTTTCAGACCCAGTGAGTTTCCTAGGATCTGCTTGCTTGACAGGAATCAGTGATGAGCAATAGGCTGTATTTTTATTGAGTTATTTATTGGTCCCTCTAGATTGTATAGGAGCTCAATGGTTTGACCTTTGAGCCTTGGCAAGTGATCATTAATATTGATGTAGAGTGCTATATTTAGAACACAAAATCCCATAGTCCTTTAAAGGCTTTTACTGTAAGCCAAGGAATTCCATTATTTTATTCTTTTGTTTTATTGATTATGTGTTGAATTAAACTACTTTTTAAATACCATGTCCATGGAAGTCTCAGCAGCAGCAGGCCAGGAAAGGTAGAGTGTAAGTCTTTCTACATGAAGATGATGTAAGCTCATCAGAGCATTATCCCACCAACCACACAGCCATCCTGGCATCCTTTTTGTACCATTATCACAAGCATGTTGGTCAATAAGGAAAACATATCAGTAAACATGGGAATAGGATGTGATTAGAATATGGCAAAATAACTATACAAGACTCAATGGAAACCTCACACCTATTAAACTGGTTTTACCCTGGGGCTAGAAACACTCAAGGTAATGGGGGTGGGGCAAGAAGCTAATGGGGGTGGGCGTTAACAGAAGAAGTGAGTGCTGCCATTCCAACCCCAGAGACTCTGTCTTTTCATTATGTTCTTTAACAGGCCCTTCATGTTCTAACCCCCAAACTCATTCTTCCCTGCTTGATCTTCTGGGAAGATCTGAGGTCACTTTTATCCTGGATTTAGGAGCAAAGAATGTGCCATTTGCGAGGATTGTCCTGTTAAGGTGAGGCCAGCTGAAGCAGCTGGGTTACTTTCTCCTGGTATGCCAACTCCTCAATAATAGATATTTAGAGAGGGCATTCCACTCATAGCAGGGCATTTGTCTTTGGCAGAATTACTCTACTATCCAGGAAGAGGGAGTAGGAGAATTCAGGACCAAAAGCCTCCTGGGGCTTCAAGTCAAACCTTCCTAGAGAACTCTAACATCTCCCCTCCAGAAGATAAGCAACACATTAAACGAAAATGTCAGAAATGCACTTTTCAACTCAGGTTCATTTCCTTATCAGTTGTGTGAGGAGGCTTCAGCAGCCTCAGTTTGCCATGAAAATGGCCAGTCTTAGGATGAGCAGCTCAACAGAGTTGGCATTGTTTTCCTGTAGGTACTTATTACCCACGTGATTAATGTGACTTGTACTTGGATCAGCTATTTTCCCAAGACTATGAAATGTTGCCCACATATTTTTAACAGTCAATAATGGAAGTCCAACTCTATCATGTTCCAAAAAAAAAATGAAATGTAAAGATCCTCTACATCAGGTGATAGGTTGTTGGTAAGACTGGGGAAGACAAGCCTGTATTGAATACATACATACATCTAACAAATAAAATCTGCTATCTAAATGCCACACTGTAGCAACTGAATCTGTTGATTCTAAGAGACAACTTACTGAGTGGGACTGTCAACTAAAGGAAACTCTCACCTCTATAGTTTCAAGGTTGTTTTACATTTTTTAATGATAAGCTAACATGCTTAAAAAACAGATTTATTTAGGTTTTATGTGCATATGTGCATGCATGCCTGCAAAGGCCAGAAGAGGTGTCAGTCAGATCCCCCAGAGCAGGAGCTACAAGAGGCTGATAGCTGCTCAATGTGGGTGCTGGCATCCAAACTGCTCCTCAGCATCTCTCCAGCCCTAACATCTTTTTTAAAAGAACTTTTAATGTTGTTGTTTTTCCTAGCCAGTGTATTACTTACTTCTCTCATTGCTGTTATTAAATGCCTAGCAGAGGCAACTTAAGAAAAGAGGGGTTTTCTTGGCTTACAGTTTTAGAGGAATTGTAGTCTGTCACATAGGGAAGGTATGTCAGCAAAAGTGTAGAGCATCTGATCACACTGTGTCCACAGTCATGACAAGAGAGAAAGGAACACTGGTGCTCAGCATCCTCATTTTTATTCCATCAGAGACCAGGGATGGTGCCACCAACATCTTGGGCAACTCTTCCCACGTCAGTAAAAATCTTGTAGATACAGCTTCACAGACTTACCAGAGATGTCTTTCCTACATGATTCTAAGTCCAATCAACTTGACAATGAAAATTATCATAGCCAGTAAATTTTAAACAGCTTTAAAATTATCCCTCCCCAAATAGCTGTGAACACACACACACACACACACACACACACACACACACACACACACACACACACACACACACACACCCACACACACAGCTTAAAGGCAAATGTATTTGTGTTTGGAGGTATAAACACTGGTTTGAGTAGCAGTGTTCTTAATGCCATATGCAGCCATAGTTTGCTAAAATGTTGAAAACTAATTATTTCAGAATATAAACCAACAGCTATCTTATAGTGAATCCATACATTTTGGTACTAGTCACATAGTGATATTCATGGGGTTCAACTGATAAATTGCCTATGAACAGCTGAAATCTGTTGAATTAACAAACTTAGAGTTAGTATTTAAAGGAAAATCTAGTAGTTAATTTCAAATATTCACCAGAAGTTGCCTCTGGAGTTCAGCAAAGGTCACATACTAAAGGTACTAACTGGATTACAGGAACACATTGTGAAGGATGTGTTCTTTCGGTGTCTCTAATGGACATTATGAATTTGGATACTTGAAATGATAATAGGTTGCCTAGCCTGCTGACTCTCATCCCGGGGATCAAAGCCTTCTTTACCATTTTGTTTTTAAGATGATCAATGATGAGTTCAGGGAAGCTTTTGAAGTTAGAATTTGATATTTCTGTGTATCGATAATAATAGTTACAAAAGTAAATACTTTATAAAGTGAAAAAACCATTTGAACAGTTTATTTTATTATTTTGGTCTACTCTGAACTGTCAAGTTCACTGGCCCCATACAATAAACTTTCACAATATACAGAGTTAGTGTAGTTTGCTTACATTTTAGCAAAGCCCATACCATGATTATAAATGATTAACACAGACCAATCTCTTTCATTTTCCACTTTCATACACCCTGGCTTCCTGTGCAGTTAGGATAGAATTATTCATTCTTTTTTTCTCTCTCTATTGAAGCCATATCAAAGATGCAACAACAGAAGGAATTTAGTGATCTCAGGCCAAGACATTTATAATAATGTGTTTCACAAATTAACCTAAGATTAAGGAAACTTAACATCAAATAATGCATCAGTCCAACTTTCAAATTCTAAATGCTCCTCGATTTTTCTTCTCACTTGATGTCCGTACATCTAATTTCAGTGCATGAGAGCTGTGCAGTTAAAAAAGAAAGTACAGTATGAATATAGTTGATTACGATGGTGACCTGAGACATGCGGTCTTTTCTCTCACTAGTGAAGGATACAGGGAATGCAAGGTTCTTTGCTGCCAGGCTGCATATGTTGAAGTGCTTTGAGTGCTTAGATGGGGAGAAGAAAAGGGTTTACAGCTTTCACCTCTCCACGACCATTAGTTTGGGGGACAAAAGGCGATATTGTGAAACAAGCAGGGCAGCAATTCAGGTTATAGTCTGGTCCAAAAGTGCTGTTCAGAAGCTTGCCCTCCCAGTCCGAGTTTCCCTCTGGGGATCTGCTCAGGGCTTTCATAAGCCCTGTTGATGTAGAATCCATTTTTGCCACCATCTGCATAATCTGTCCTGCCGGTGGGAGGCCAGGTAGCATCTTCAGCCAGCTTTCTCTGCAAGATCCTGTACTGACTTTTTGAGTAGAATCCAAATTCCTTCTTTATAAACAGCCAGAGCTCTCTATTTTGAAGGATGGCATCCTGAAAAATCGGGTGAGGAGTAAAAATAAAACCATTGTGCTTACACCAGTAAGCCCCTCACATCTAGACAGCAGTGGAAGCCGGGGACCCCGGGGCCTCCTCTCTGAGGAGCTCAGTGCTGCTGCTGCAGCTGCAGCTGCTTCCCCTGGGAGCTGAGATGTTTCCTGACACAGAAACCCCTGAACACCAGAAGACTTGCTTTTCTGCAGATTTCCTGGTGAAATCCTGGCTGGGGGTTCACTTACATACAGTTCTTTCAGTAGCGGGCTCAAACTAACAATAGCACACCACATGTCCAGAAAGTAAAACCTAAGAAAGAAGAGATGGGAAGAGAGCAAAGGGAGGGGGAGGAAAAAACCAAGGAAACCAAAAACTGAGTTCCAGCACCTGTCACAAAGTGCCAAATTTTGTTGGCTGGATGAATTAGTTTGTAGCAATGAAACAGTTTTTTAAATTTTGTTTTTATTTACGTCGAGTGGGGTGGGGGAATGTGCATGCGCCTACAAGAGTCTGCAAAGGTCAGAGGGTGTTAGATGACCTGGAGCTAGAATTACCCAGGTGGTAAGCTGTCTGATGTGGGTGCTGGCAATCAAAGTCAGGTCCTGGGAAGCGCAGCAAGCACTCATAACCACCATGTCTCTCTAGTCCCTCGAACTTTTGTTTCCCATCCTTTTGAGTTCCCTTTTATTCTTTCCTGATGTGATTTTTGCAAACAATAGAATTCATCCAATTTTGCACTTTTCTTTCCTTTGTTAACACTAGATTTTTTGTCATCTGCAACTTTTGTGTGATTACGTCTCTTAAGATATTTTATTGTGGTTAAAGGTGTAGTCATTTTATTATCTTTAAAGACTCCAGGATTTCTTCAAATTTCGGCGTAAGCATTTAAACACACCATTTGAATCATTTTGCTGCCGGAGATAACACTATCATGAATCTCTTCATACAAGATAGGTGTCTCATTTAAAAAAAAATGTGATGTAAAGGTGGAGTTCCTGACTGAAAGAGTATAAGAAATTTACAAACACACACACACACACACACACACACACACACACACACACACACATATAACTATATACAATATACATAAGACTTAATTTGGTTGGTCTTTTCCCTTAAAGGACTTACTTATAATTCAAAAGTAATCTTTCTCTTTCTCTCTTTTTTTTAACTCCTTTTAAGAAACACCACCCTTGCCTTTTGCTGTGTGGATGAGTCAGTCATTCAGTGGCCCCGAGGAGAAGAGGACCACCCATGGGAAGGCCTCCAAGGGTCCAGTTGATGACAATGAAAGTGGGCTTCCTTTCTCTCCCAATTAGAGGTGCCCTCCTTAAGAGGCTGCTTCACTCTGTCCAAAGGTCTCCTCACTTTTCAGAGCCTCGGGGTCACTTCGGTCTCACTTCTAGATGTTTGGGAATAGTGGGGAGTAAATACAGCACCTCTTTCAATAAGCACTGGAACTGAGTCAGTGTTTTACTTTCTATGGAGAAAGATTCCAGGAATATTTCTCAGCAGCCTTCCAAGAGTTTTAAACCATACTCTAAAGAATTCCTCCCAACAAGATCATGCCCGGTCTTCAAAACGCCCTTACTAATCCTCTTTTGGGTACTATAGAAGTTGCTGTAAACAGTGAATGTCAGTTGAGAATGAGACTCTGAATTTGCATATCTACCTTAAAAAATCATAGGAGCCATATACTTTACCTCCACAAAGAAGGCCACACAGAACTGGACAAAGGCTGCCACCAGAATCGAAACTCTCCATGATGTGATGGTTGGGATGAACTATTGGGAAAAAAAAGCAAAAAACAAAACAAAACAAAACAAAACAAAAAACGCTGCTATTAGGTAGTATATGTTTCACATTTTGAAAAAGTATACCATGCTTGTTATTATTTAGAATTTCTGGATTTTTAATAACCCTGAAGTTGGAAGGTAGGCACTGTTTTCTCTACTTTGCAGATAAGAAAGATGAAGGCTAGCACACCTTGCCCAAGGACTTTATTCAAAGCCAGAATTTAAACTAGAATGGATTCCTCCAGGCCTGTGCTCCCTCCCTAGCCTGATGGTGTCTGTCAGCTAGGGCAATAAGACACCTTGGGCAGTGAAGTAAGGAACACCTTGGAGCTCAAGTGGCCCTCTTCATTTATGCTTTAAGACTAGGGGAGAGGATGTAAAACTTAATCATTCTTCTGCAATTCTTACTGTTTTCTGGCTCCCAAAGCAAAAACTAACTTGGAATTCATTGCTTTTTTCCCTCCAGTAAAATTGACTTGTGGGTAAAACATAAGTCATGGCAAAAAAAATAATGTTACTTTGACTGAGTATGATGTTTTGGGCAAATGTTATCAATCCCAAACCTAGTGGCTTTGTGCAAACCTAACAACCTATACAAATACTACAGCGTCACAGACTCACCAGGAAACATCTCTGCTTATTAGATGTGAGAGCCACACCCACAGTGGACGGGGAGCTATGCAGTCCTGTTTCTGATGCACAGAAAGTTAGGTTGATTGTGTGGGAATCTGAAGTCTAAAAATCACAGAATCCTCCACCCCAGAGTGTCTAATCCAGTGATTCTCAACAAGGGGGTCAAGACCCCCTTGAGGTTGTGTATCAGATATTTGCATGATTCATAACAGCAGCAAAATTATGTTTCTGAAATAGCACAACAATAATTTTTTGTTTGGGGGGGTGGGTCACCACAACATGGGGAACTGTATTAAAGGGTCTCAGCATTAGGAAGGTTGAGATTCACTGCTCTTGTTGATTGTGTTTTATTCTTTGATTCTATTGGGGGTCCGACACCCAACCACACAGCCAGCTACCAAGTGAGAGTGAAAGTAAGATACACAGAAGTAAGAAAAGGGAAAAAGCCCAGAGGCAAAAGGTAGACAGGATAATTTAAGTTAAGAAAAGCTGGCTAGAAACAAGCCAAGCCAAGGCCTGGCATTCATAAGTAATAAGTCTCCCTGTGTGTGATTTATTTGGGTGCTGGGCAAAAAGAGCCCAAAGAGCGAAGAAAAAAAAAAAAAAGACAAACAAAAACATGGTCTAGCCACTCACTTCAAATTCTCATCCACATCATGGGATGGCTTGTTTCATTTCAGTACTTGGTCGTTTGTTTCCCCAAGCAGAAACAGCCTCTACCTGGGCTTTGAGGCACCGCACATTAGGTGGAAGGCTTTCCACTCTGTCACACTCTGACCCACTCAGATCTCATCGCTGCTTCCACCATAATGGGGGAGGCTATTCTCCATCCCCGGCTTGGAAATCATCTTGGTTTGGAATTTTTCACTTCAATAATTTGGAGTTGTTCACAGCAGACTGAATTACTGAATTGCTCAGAGCAACATCTTACTTCTGTTCCCGAACCAAGCACACCCTTGAAGCTCTGTAACTCATGGGCTATGGATGGATCTCATGAGTTTTCATTTCCTGTCTCTCCATCACCTTGCTTTCCTGACCTTGCTTAATGAATCTGTTTGAAATGTCCTTGCAAGGAACCCTCAGCGTCTCCCTGTTATTTTGGCAGAAAGTACGAAGCTGGTTGGCTGCTTTGGATGGTGCCTGCCTCCCTTAGTTCCCCCTGTTCTCCATGCTCCACAGTACACCACCTGCCTGTTTTACAAGATTTTTCTACCCGTTGGGTAATGCAAGCCTTGCTTTGCTTTTCACCCTTTACACCCCACATTTCTGTTTCTGGAATCACATTTGTTCTTTGAAAACCAAAAGATCCTCCGCTCTTTCTCCTGGTGCTGAGGCAGTTCAGCCCATCGGAAACAGCCTGACCCTGCAAGATCCAGCCTGTGTGTCTGGGTCCCCACCAACCTGTGTGTCTTCCACAAAGCCTTCTTGGCTGTCAGAGCAACAGTGAGAATTCCTTCCACATTCTCCCAGCTCTACTTTTACATTCCCTTCAAGAATTGGTGGTGTCAGGCAGTCACGTTACATCTCAGCAAAGAATGGCTACTCTTAAAAACAAAACTATGGGCTGAAAGCTTCCAGAAGTCTCCCACAAGACTGGATCCAAGAATAACTAACAACTTCCCGATGAGGTTAATTTCAAACTGGTGTGTTCTAGATCAAACAATGGCCACTCAGGTAACACTCCACGGCCAATTCCTGGTAGAATATGATTGCCCCAACCATTTTCTTTTACAATTAAATTTAAAGGATATTCTTACTATGTTTTAAACAGGTGTGGAGAATTAATTACTATATTAGTGCACTAATTTCACTGTATAGGTAAAATATGGCAAGACAAAGTTTTAAAACAAGATATTTTATATTTAGTGTACGGCGTGTGTGTGTGTGTGTGTGTGTGTGTGTGTGTGTGTGTAAGGGGGCATACATGCCACAAAACACATGTAGATGTCATAAGTCAACTTATGGGAGTCAATCGTCTCCTTCTACCACTTCCAGGGAATGAACTCTGATCATCAGGCTTGGTAGCAGGCACATTTACTCACTGTGTCATCTCTCTGGTCCCATACAATGTTTTAGGCATGAACATTATAAACATGTTGAAATGATGACACTATTAATGTGAAAATGTATGTGAAATACAGAAATATTTTCTCTTCTAAAAAATACCAGTTCATAGTGTTTAGTGGGTCAGAGAGAATAATGACTGACTTAGAAACTACAATGCAAGGACAGCTTTGGCACGCCTGAGTCATAGCACAACACTTACCTCCATTCCTTGGTATATATCTTGAAAGTCAGAGAACAGAATGAAAATGGTGAGAACCGCAGCAGATGTCAGCAGAAGTGAGAATAAATCTGTGGAAACGCCAAATATTATTTTCAGGTGCTAAGAGAATGCCTCATAGAACTTGGCACATGTTAGCAATCAGTCCATGTTGGGCAAATGCTAGACGCATCTTCAGATGTTTTGATACATCATCATATGTTTTAAAATATGTTCTAATGTTTGTAAGATAAAGGTGTTACATTAAACATCTTTCCTCATAAAGATGGAATTAAACATGTTATAGAAACGTCCAGGAAGGAATCATCTCTGCTGAGGGTCCCCAGGGTGGGAACATCCTGCCAATGCTAGACCATCTCAATGGCTACAGAGAAGCCCTGCTCATCATGATCACACCATCCAGTGACACACACATGTAGGGTGCACCCAGTCCTGACAGCATCTTATCCTTCACTTGTAGGAGAATGAGGTACAAGAATGGTCCACTGACACTCAGGGCTTTCTGGGGTCAGGCCCACCAGCTTTTCTGAAACCTTGTGACCACTCACATTCAGTTTCCTACCAAGAGGTCCTTAAGTGCCCAGTGCAGACAGTATTCCTCCTGCCATGGTACATTCCGTTTTCCTCTACTTAATGAGCCCAATTCAAGTGCCCCATTTCATGCAACTTCCTAATCCTCCCTGACAATGTTTACTGCATATCACACATGACATTCTGGCTCATATGACCTCAAATGATACATCAACCAGACTCCAGAAATGACTGCATCCGGGGCTTTGGGACTCTGACTTGGGAAAGGTTACTTAGAAATAAATATGCAAATCTGCTGGGCTTCTCCCTTCCTGCATCCACAACTGCTTGACCTTTAGAACATAAACATCCCCAGTGTATTATGTCAAAATCCCTGTTCTTCCCACCAAAAGCCCACCTGCTCCTGTGTCTTCCCAAAGAACTCTGCAAATAGAGCCTTGACAATGTTTTTTGATATAACCTCAAGCCCCAAGCACTAGAATCCATTCAGTGTTACCAAGATAGATATGATCCATAGATCCTCCTGAGGTGTTTTTAAAAAAGTCAAATACCACCATCTAGGTTTTCTATATCTGGACCAACTAGAAACCTGAGATAAATCCACAGAAACTATTTCTGAAGACACCAGGATTGGTTTCACCTTTAAGCACTTGTACCCACCCTTAGCATTTCCTCACCCACTCTCAGGAGAATGACCACACTTGCTTAGAAAGAGGGTGAAGCATAAAGAGAGAGAGAGAGAGAGAGAGAGAGAGAGAGAGAGAGAGAGAGAGAGAAAGAGGGGAGGACTGCTCCTCCCAAATAGAGCAAAGTGCCCATGATGGTGATACAAAGATCACTTTCTGCATTTGTTCTACTGTGGAGTTTCCAGGACCCAGAAACTGGAAAAGGAAGGTGACATTAGCTGTTGGTCCTGCTAAAGGCACAATTCTTATTAGCAACTGGCTGCATCTTGCACATTCAATGTGTCCTCAGGCTAGTGATCTGCAAAGCAGGCCCTCTCCCTTACTTCATCTTTGGTTAAAGAAAATGTGATGAAGAATTGAAATGAGTGTCTGCTCTCTGTGGTTAGCTGCTGTGGATAAAGAATGGGGCCCCACGGAGGCAAGCAATTTAAAAGCAAATACTGCACAAACCACTGTTAACTTGTCTTCAAATAAAGGAAGCGTTGGCAATACTCATATTTGTTTACAACTTTTTCTGTATCTTGTCATCATAAAGTTGAGCTCTCAAGCACTGGTTAGAAAAGCAAGATTTTTGTTATTTCAGGGTGAAATCACTTGTATAATGCATCTTAGTACCTCTGAAGACTTCTGAATTCTAATTCAGAAGTTTACAGTCTGCAGTATCATGCATTGGGGCAGGAGAGACAGTTCAGGGTTTAGAGCATATACTGATCTTACAAAGGGCCTAAGTCCCGTCCCCAGCACCAACATAGGGTGGCTCACTACCACCTGTAAATCCAGCTCCCTGATATCCAAAGCCCTTTCCTGCACTCCATGGGCACCTTCATTCACATGTGCACAGACCCCACCACACACATGCACACATACTTTTCAAAAAATATTAACGCTTAAGTGTATTAGAAGATAATAAAGCCTTTCCCATTTGGAATTATCAGTTACACCAGTCATGTGGCTCAGCAGCTAAATGCACTTGTCACTCACTTTTCTGACTAATTTTATGTTAACTTGAAACAAGCTAGTGTCATCTGAAAAGGAGGAAAAGCAGTTGAGAAAATGCCTACATAAGATCTGGCTGTAGGGCATTTTCTTAATTAGTGTTTGAAGTGAGAGGGCCAGCCCATGGTGGGCAGTGCCATCCCTGAGCTAGTGGTCCTGGATTTTATAAGAGAGCAGATTGAGCAGACCATGTGGAGAGAGCCAATAAGCAGCGCCTCTCCATGGCTTTTGCATCAGCTCCTACTGGGTTTGAGTTCCTATCCTGACTTCCTTCAGTGATGAACTACAGTGTGGAAGTGTAAGCAAAAACAAACCCTTTCTTCCTCAGCTTGCTTTTGGTCATGGTGTTTCATCACAGCAGTGGTTCTCAACCTTCCTAATGCTGTGATTCTTTACTACAGTTCCTCATGTTGTGGTGCCCTCAACCATAAAATTCTTTTTGTTGCTATTTAACTGTAATGATGCTGTGGCTGAGAATCGTAATGTATATATCTGTGTTTTCTAATGGTCTTAGGTGACCCCTGTGAAAAGATCACTCACCAACAAAGGGGTTGTGACCCACAGGTTGAGAACTACACCACGAGAAACCCTAACCAGAAAAGCCACCAAACCTAATGACCTGAGTTTAATCCCTGGAATCCACTGGCTCCTTCCCACAGGTTGCTGTCCCCTGCATCCGCATATGCATTATAACACACACAGGGCACCACCAACTGAATAAAATTATTGTGTCGATGATAAGATTTCAGTTTTCCTTTAAGTTCCAAGTCCCCATCTTGTAACTAATCTACTTCTAATTCACTCCATGTGTGTGAAAGTCCTGGTATTGTATTTCCTTCCTATTGAAGTACCGGGTAGTTAGAGTATCCTACTTATGAAATACATTTACCTTGGAAATAAGGGCTATAAGAAATAACTGCAAAATATAAAGCAGAGTCTTCATTTGTTGCAACAAGAGTCAAGGGTACTTTCAAACACTGCTTCAAAACTGAGGGAAATGACGAGAAACTCATTGACAGGAAATGTAAGATCAGAGGAAGACACCAACAGGATCTCAAATCCTTTGAGAAGACAGCTTTGCCAAAGTGGTTCAGGAACAAAGAGAATCTGAATAATATAATTGAATGAAAGTGCTTTAACAATAACTGCGTATGTGTGACCTAGAGCCGGGAGCTTATCCTATACAACACTGAAGCAATTCCTCCAAAGCACGTGTCCGAGGCTAGGTCGTCTAATCACAACTATCAGAACAGACATTTGTGATAGGGTTGAACTGAAGCAACCCACCCCCCTCAGTACACAAATAAGGAAAGTTACTAAAGCCTATTATATCAAAGTTATGAGCTATTAAAAGAAAAAGAAGAAAGAAAATGAAAGCAAAATCTGACCCCCTCTCTCAACCAGTAAAATTCACTGTTCAGAAAAGTATTAGGCCAAAGAACAAAATAGGTCAAGTTGCTGGTAGGGGAAAATATAAAGAATGGAATCCAAACTACAATAACTGGCCTTGAATGCTTTCCTAACTTTATACAGATAGAGAAACAAACATGGACCATGAAGTTAGTGGAGAGGCTACCTTAAATGGCCCTTCCCCTATAACGAGATTGATGACTACCTCAAATGTCATCCTAGAGCCTTCACCCAGTAGCTGACGAAAGCAGAAGCACAGATCCACAGCTAAACACTGAGATGAACTCCTGGAATCCAGTTGTAGAGAAGGAGGAATGATGAGCAAAGGGGTCAAGTCCATGCAGGGGAAACCCACAGAAACAACTGACCCAAGCAGGTGGGAGCTCATGGACCCCAGTCTGACAGCTGGGGAACCAGCATAGGACAGAACCAGGCCCCCTAAATGTGAGTGTCAGTTGGGAGGCCAGGGCAGTCTATGGGGCCTCTGGCCGTGGAACCAGTATTTTTCCCTAGTGTACCGACTTTAGGAACCCATTCCCTATGGAGGAATACTCTCTCAGCCTGGATACATGGGGGAGGACCTAGGTCCTGCCCAAAAGGATGTGACAGACTTTGATGATTCCCCATAGGAGGCCTCGCCCTCCCTGGGGAGTGGAGTTGGGGAGTAGGTGGGGCATGGGAAGATGGGAGGGAGAGGGAGCTGAGACTGGTATGTAAAATAAGATTGTCTCTAACTTAAATAAAAAATTATTAAAAAATAAAAACACATTCAAGAAAAGGGAAAACAAACCTTAATAAATGAGAAAATCAAAGCCAATACAGAATTAAAAGTCTGAGAGCTATTTTGTTATTAACCAGTAAAAAAAAAAAAAAGTTGCATTTAAGGTAAGAAGAACAAGAAAAAGCAACATTTTTGCTGCAATTTGGATCCAAAACATCCACCAAAAACTCTGGTATGGAGGGTGTGGTTTCCAGAGGGCATGGACTCCAGCTCAGCACAGAGGCCTCACTTCAAGGGATGGGTAGATAGGGAAGGCCCTAACCTAATTATGAATTATCCCACTGATAGGCTCACAGCTTAATGAGCTATTGTGAGGTGATAGATACTTGAGACAATTGACAAAATTAGCAGGACCATATACTTGAAAGGTATGTTTTATCCCTAGCTCACTCCACCCCATCCTGGCCATTTCCTTCCTTGCCTCCCCCTTACCTTCATGCCCACACTTGCTGTCTTTCTTGCATCCTGAGCTACAGAAGATGAGCAACTTCATTTTACAATGTATCCCCTGTCCTTATCTCTCCCACACTGAAGTCCCAGACACAACAGAGCCAAGTAACCACAGACTAAATTAAAAAAAAAATTAAAGAAATCTTAGGTATTCTGTCACACTTAGTGAAAGATGATTAATACATATATACGTATAATTAAGACACTAGCCAGGGTCACAGAAAGTAATTAAAACTTTAAGAAAAACCTTACCCCAAATTGTATGATAAAGTTTGATAATATTAATGAAATGGTATCATATGGGCAAATATATATTATTTAAAACAGTATAATCCAAATCAATCCTTAAAACATACTTTCAAAGGAAGGATTTGGAGCTAAGTAATTTACTGCCAGATTTGTGTAAGTTGTCAAGGAAGAAATCATTCTTATCTATTAAAATCCTTATAGGGAAAATAAAAAGTCAAATTTTTACATAAAGCTCAAACCTAACAAAAATGTACAAAAAAACTGAAAAATACAGCATGAAATGTGGTTCTTCAAGAAGCTACAAAATCCAATTTAGTAAAAGTTAAATGCACTACAAGTAAGTAGGCTATTCTCAAGATTATGATTTAGTAACAAAATTATTAATATAAAACATCTGTAGCACTGGATAAGAAGACAGAAGATACAAAAAGAGTATTCATCTTGGTAGATGATGGTAAGCCATCTGTTGAAGTCTGTCTCCTAGACTGGATTTTAAAATCTCTCTTGATTAACGCAAACAGAGGGTTATTTTTTAAAACATAATAGAAGCTTTCCATGACAATCTCGCCAACAGCCAAAAATGTATTTATAAACAGTTTAAGTGAGAATTCCTACAAGTGTTGTCACTAAGGTGTCCATGTATCTGTTAGCCTTGATATTATCTAACATTGTCCTGAATTCTGGGTTTCATTCATTCAAAATTTAGGTAGATGTTTAATTGTTTAAAAAGAAGAGGGAACAATTTTGTTTGCGATTACTAATCACTGTTTTTCAAAACACTTAAGACTCAAGGTAACAACAAAGGTCAGGAAGGATTCTGGGTAGAAATTGGAAGTGATACTATACCCTTCTCATGTCACAGTGCCATTCAGTTATAAATACAACAGGGAGAAGCCATTCAGAATACAAACAGATAAGCAAATCAGATTAGGTTCTTAAATGTACAGTGCCTATGGTGGAGAAAACTGCAGATATTAAAGGATAAATAAAAGAAATGAGGATAGCGGTGGCTGCGGCTTGCTTTGTTGTGAAATATCCACCATGGGCTCGTGCATTTGAACTTGGTCCCAGCTGGTGGGCACTACTTTAGAAGGTTGGGGGACCTTATGGAGGTCAAACACCTCTGAATGAAATGGGTCATTTGGAATAGGCCTTGATATGTATGTATCTATAGTGCAGGCCTGCTTCCTGTCAATTTTGCTTCCTGACTGGGAGCACAGGCACCACGTGCCTTCCTCGCCACGAGGGTCTGCCTCCTCCATTAGGCTGTTTCTCGTCACATCCTTGGTCACAATAACAAGAAAATAACAAATGGATGTGGAATGCTCCTACATGGGAAGATTAAATTACATAAATCCATAAATTCTTCCCAAAGTGTCAAGATCCCAAGTGAGAAATTTGGAAGCTGGACACTTTATTTTACAATTCATCTGGAAGAAAAAAAAATCATGAGAGTGAGATGACTGTAAAAAGTGAAGAGAAATCAGAGTTTACAACCCACATGCTGCTTATTAAATAAACCATGAAACTATCCTTGGTAAAATGCCATTGAACATAGTACCAGTGAAATAGTAAAGACAGTGGGAAAGCACACCAGCTCTACATAAATATGTAGTATGTGGAGCTAACACAGAAGGGCAGTATCCAATACAAATTACCTGTAATTGAACAATAACATACCTGAACAGATATGATGTGGCTGGTATTATTCTCAGTGGGGGAATAAATAAGTGAAAGGAATATTATATATTTGATAGTACAAAAATCTGCTAGAAAAATTGATTAATTGGGTAAACTAACTTGACTCACATGGTAAACATACCACATTGCATTAAAAATTTAAAAAGTGTTAAACTATCTTTAAAATAAGTAAGTGCAATCTCTGTTTTGTAACTAGAAGAACCTTTCTGTGCATAAAGGCAACGAGAAAATATAACTAACTACAAAGGAATAAACAGCTCATACAGACAAATATAGCAGAAATCTAATATGAAAACAGATTAAAATGTACATAGACAAATCATAGATGACATGCCTAATAACACAGATCTATATTTCTCTTCACTGACAAGAAAAATCCAAATTACAACTAAATGAAATACCATGATTTAAGAAATCTTATCAGACCAGCAGAAGTTTGTTTTTAGTATAGCATTTTCATATCCTTATCAGCTACATGCATTACAAAATGACTAAAAAGCAACAATAAAAATGGCTACAAATATCCTGGAAATCAATGTAAACCTTAACTCAAGAACTGGTTTTCTTAAGGAAATTGGAGGTCAATTGAAATGATTTATAGGTTTGTTTCACTTTTTTTTTATTCTTTGTAACACAAGCTGCTCCAAATTCACCATGTAGCCCAAGAATGACCTAGAATTTGCACCCTCCTGCCTCTCCCTCCTAAACGCTAAGATGGTAGGCATGTGACACCACTCCTGGTTTTATGTGGTCCTGGGGATTAAACTCAGGGTTTTGGGCGTGTGAGGCAAGGATGCTGGTAACTGAGCTATCGTCCCATGCATCTTGAGTCACTTTGACATGGAATTATTTACAATGAAGACACAGCAAAGCCAGCTGTGTGGTAGATAAGATGCCCATGCATCTGAATTTCCCGAGGTTCTCCTTGAGCTGGCATAATTACTAACAATATCTACTCCCACTTTCAAAAGTGTGGAAGGACATACTCTAGTTTGTTTGCTTTCCTGCCTAGAGGTCTTGATTGCCACTTCAAACACTTTGGGGGTTTTCTTTTGAATTTGCCTTTATTCTACTTAGGGAAATTATTAGAGAAGTAAGAATTTTTTAAAAATGTTATAAATTTGGGGACATTCCTATGTGTTGCACTAGACACTTTACATAAAAAGTTTTATTTAATTTTCACCACAATGTTGAAGGTCATATAATATTCCCATTCTACACATGAGAAAAGTGGAGGCATCGAAGACTTAATGCAACTGTTCTAGCTTTATGAAGCTACTAAGAGGTTTTGTGAGTTCCTTAAAGGCCTTCTACAAAAGCCTTTCTACCTGTAAACTGTGCAACAAATGATTCTCGATGACTCATTTGACCATTTAATAATGACTGTACATCCTCAAATGAGTAGCTTTCTGCCCTCAGGCTCACCCATCTAAGGCCATTTTATCTAATTATCATGCCAGAGAGACGAAACATCTCATATGCTAGGACTCTAGGAAGGAAGTGAGAAGAGAAAAAGACCCAGAATGGATTACCAGCCTACATTCCACACCTCCAGAGAAGCTAGGAAACAAGGAGAACCCTAAGAGAGACATACATGGTCCCCCGGAGAAGGGGAAAGGGACAAGATCTCCTGAACAAATCAGGACATGGTGGGAGGGGAGAGGGAGCTAGGAGAAAGAGAAGGGGAGAAGAGGAGGGGTGAGGAACACATGAGGGAGCAGGGATTTTGAGTAGGGAGAAGAACGAACATAGGAGAGCAAGATAAGAGATACCATAATAGAGGGAGCCATTATAGGTTTAAAGAGAAATTAGGCACTAGGGAAATGCCCAGAGATCTAGCAGGATGACACCAACTAACAATTTAAGCAACAGTGGAGAGGCTACTTCAAATGCCCACCTCTGATAATAAGATTGATGACTAATTTATATGCCATCCTAGAGCCTTCATCCAGCAGATGATGGAAGTAGAAGCAGACACCCACAGCTAAACACCGAACTGAACTGGAATCCAGTAGCAGAGAAGGATGAGTGATGAGCAAAGGGGTTAAGACCAGGCTGGTGAAACCCACAGAAACAGCTGACCTGAACAAGGAGGAGCTCATGGTCCTCAGACTGATAGCTGGGAAACCAGCATAGGACTTGCCTGGACCCCATGAAAGTGTGTCAGTGAGGAGGCCTCAGAAATCTATGGACCTCTTGCAGTAGATCAGTACTTATCCCTAGCCCATTCCACATAGAGGGATACCTTCTCAGTCTAGGCACAAGGTGGAGGACCTAGGCCCTATCCCAAAGGACATGACAGACTCTGAAGATCCCCATGGAAAGCCTCACCCTCCTCGGGGAGCAGAAAGGATATGGTATAGGTAGGGTGTTAGTAGGGGGCAGGGGAGGAGGGGAGGGAGAGGGAACTAGGATTGACATGCCAAACAATCTTGTTTCTAATTTAAATAAAAAAATGGAGGAAAAAATAAACCTTGTATACTCACAGTTTGTGTAGATGGGTTTCCTAAACGGTTTCCCCTTAGAAAATACGAACGCTGCTGAGATACAGTTGAAGGTGATGATGGGCCACAGAGTGGTGCTCTCATAACTCAGAACAGAAGCAGGAACCAGAGTTGAATTTCCAGTCCAGTTTTGCTCCAAACTCATATTGGTTGAGAAATTACTTTGTTTTGTCAGGAAGCATTCACTATGAGAGAATTGTCAGCATTTATGAAAAATTCTATACTTGTAAAATGATCTATTAGATGACAAAGTCATGTAATGACTACCAGGTGACTTCAGCTTTTAACCTGTTCCTGCTGGTGGCTGACAGGACATTTCTTGTTTACTTCTTACAATGACAAAGAAGATAACCTGTCCTGAGAGGCCTTGGGTGACAATTTCTTCAGAATTTCTGTCAAATCAAATAGTAAATGTACCACTTGGGCAAAGTGTGTACTTATGTATGTGTTTGCGTACGTGTGTGTGTGTGTGTGTGTGTGTGTGTGTGTGTGTGTGTGTATTCTCTTTCATTTATTGATGTGAGCTTACTGAATTGCATCCTGAGTTGTGTCCCTACACCAATCACTCCTTGGTAGCTAAGGAGTCATAATAAAGACCCAACATAGTGATTGAACCAGAGCCATCTTGATTTCCTGGCCATGCCTCTATGGTTCCATCCTGCTTCCTTCTAGTTCCAACCACAGTGTATTTCTCTGTGTGTATTTGCTCCAGATTAGAGGAATATTTGGTTCTGAAACTACATGGGACTGTGTATTCCAAGTCATACTTGAATTACTGACTTTGGAGCCTGAATAAAGATCTTTCAAATCACTTGCTGGTTCTCCATTTATGTTTCTGTGCTCTGGGGTTCCAATGCCATTAGGCTCATAGTGGAGTGTACAGGCTTGAGTTCAGAAGGACAATGCTATTTCCTCAGGAAAAAGAAAACTTGAATTTACATATTGCCTTGGCTGTTCCTGTACTACAGTGGCATCATTGACTAGTTGCAAGAAGACCATCCTCCTCTGAAAGCCTAATGTTCTTCTCTGGCTCTTCGTAGGGAGTATTTCCCAAGCCTTGTTCTATATGAAATCCATGCCTCAAGGAGTGAACATCAAGCTGTTAGATCATCTCACCAGCAATCATGGTGACAGGTACTCCCCTGGCCACTCCACATGCTCACCGAGTATGCCACCCATTGCATGTATTGTGTTCTATCACTTCTGATTTGCAGTATGAAAGTATTATTTTAGAGTTTGTATTGGTACCAAGTTAGACAATGTCACGGTGCACTGCTTATGTCACTTTCAGATGAGAAAACCTAAGGGAAGGGACTTACCTGTACTGATAGACCTCACAGTACCACGGCTGCTGCTTCACGGAAAGGAACGCACACACCTGCACAATGCAGGTAAAGCAGGAATTCAGGAAGACCGAGAGTAGCAGCTGAGGAGAAAGCAGTTGTCCTGCTGGTCTGTATGGAGCCAGCTTCGGGTAGGCATGATTTATGCTCACTGAAAGACAGGTATATGATTTTCCTTTACAATTTCATTTTTCAGGATAAAAGATGTGATGTATATCATCTCAAGTCTCTGAGTAAGATTCAAATTGAGAAGACACCAATAGAAGGTTTACACCTATACCAGCCATTATGTCATTGTATATCTATTTCTATTAAACTTAGTCTCCTCTATACTTTGGTTTTAGTTTCGGAAGTAAAACATAATGGCTGAAAGGTCCTGTAATTGATATATCTACCATACCACACAATGTCCATATTTTTCCTATGGACTCAACAGGGATTATATATAAAACAAGATGAGCAATGCCAATATCTCTCATGAAGGAGGAAAGTGGATAGTTGGAATGAGGGATGAAGTAGTCCCTACTTTGGTAGGATTTTTTTTAACTTTGGTTAATTTTAACTTGTATCATTTTCTATAAATAAAACCGTGATAGCAAATACCACACTTGTGTGGATTCTGTGAATTAGCAAATTATTGACTACAGGATGGAGGGTAGTGGAACCCCTAAATTGTAGACAGCTAGTCAAAACACAGATGGCTCGGGAACACCAAAAGTTGTCCCTGGTGTCTGAAGTGAAGCCTTTCTTGTGCTTGTGTCCTCAACCTGTGATATTTGTTCTAACAGTGGGTAGCTGGTGTCAGAAGTCACTGTTTGCACTAATAAGTGGACGATGATCACACAATATGAACGGTCATACACACGTGCACATACAAAGTGGATGATCATACAAATACATATACATGTGGACCGTTGTTAGTGCTGAAGAATGTGCAGTGAATTTGCCTCTAAGTCACAGAAGGTAGAGGCTGTAGTGCCTAGAATGCCTTCTGTATGTCACCATTCAAGATGCACCTGTAAAGTTCGTAAGGAGGCTGTGGGCACTTGCCACAGGTGTCATCACAGCTCTGGAAAATGGCTCCCTACCTCACTGATACACTCTCTCACACATGCTCATTACAGTTTTTGTCTCCATCTTCAACACAAGAACCATGGGAGACTGATACAGACAGCATTTATTTGGGGTTTCCTGGCATGATTTTCATCATGGTGATAATAGCATTAGTTTCAAACAATCTTGCAAGGCTCACCATGTCAGGCCTTGCTGAAAATATTGTGTCTGGCCCCTCACTGTGGCCCTAGACTGAGAAATATGGAGTTGGCCTGAGCTCAACTTGATTGAAGCAAACTATTTACAGTGTAAAGCATAGTGGCACCTAAATCAGCTGAATGACAGTCAACCTCTAAGCCCATAAACTGGAAGAGTAATTGCTTGGTGACATAAGCCATTGAAATTGGGGTGAGGTGGGATGCAGTGATATTGTGACACCAGCTGGTTGACATTTTTACATTGGGAATTTGAACTTTTTCTCTATCAAAGACTCCTAACATTTCTAACAAAAAATCCATATTCCTGGTTATTAGAAGAAAATGATTCCTGGTTTGGGACAGCCATTAAATTCCAGAGATTGTAGCAAGTGATTTTATATGTATTATCTTTATTTCCTTAAAAAAAACAATGCAAAGGAGGCAAGTTTTGCAGATGGACTAATCACATTAAAATAGAATCTCTTTTTAAAGGACACAGTGAGTAGCACAGCAATGATGTGAACACAAGAGGGTCTAATCCTTAAGCCTGTGGTCTCTGCCTCCAGCATTTGCAATAGGATGGATTTCCTAAGTGTAAAAGAACACAGTGGGATCCCTGAACTAGCTTGGAGAGCAGTATTGTTTGTAACCAGGAAGGAAAATTCTGAATTGTCCAGATTTTCCTAAAATGGATACGACCATATTTGTTATCGGGTTACATGCAGAGAAACACAAACTTACAAGATGATATATTTTACCTGAAATTAATCCCTCCCTTTTCTGCATTCTCACAGTGTATTATTCATTCTGGTGGCCTACCACATATCGTACATTAAAGCGTATTGTTCACACATGCAACCCTGCCGACTGTGAACTCCCGGAGACAGAAACCCTGCCTCGTTCCACTTGTTATCTCTCTCTAAACCTCACACTGAGCCTGCTACAGGGGAGAAATTGCCATTTCAAATTATGGTCTTTAATTGTTCAAAAATCATTTCATGCATTTATATTAGAAATTATATATTACAACTCATGTAAGCCAATTTCAAGGCGGCCATAAATCTATAATCAAAGCTCTGAGTGTGCCTCCTGAGAGCCCCAAGATGTACATCTGCCATGAGAGTCTCCAAAGGACCACATGCAGAAAAGGTGACTGTCATTTGATGAGGTTTATGTAAAAGATGCACGTGTGTAATGGAGGGATGCCTTCTCACACCTAATTGTCTCCATGAGGCCTCCTCCTATCTACTGAAATATTTAGTCTTAATAGAGCTGACTGGACCTCATCAACGTCTCCTGCAATGACTGTCTTAAAGCCATGTTACACCAATATGCTTCCTATTCAAAAGACTTGCTGGAGGGACAGCGAATGTTTGCTATCATTGCTATGGGGAGACAAGTGAACAGATGAAAATGGCAGTGCTTCAGTGGGTAGTGTCACCTCTTAGGACATTTGCCATGGTGGTGAGTAGAGGACAATAAATCAAAGCTGCAAGAGCTGGACTGAAGAAGAGAGAGGGAATGGCTGCTTGAGAATAAAGAGATTCTGTTTTTTTACCCTTTAATATGCAAGAAATTTATTTTTAATCACCTCCTTCCTGTATTTTCTTGCTGTAGTCTGACTGGATCTTGCTGAAGAAGGCAAATGTGTTACTTGCAAAACTGCCGCACAGACTAGGGTCAAGTTGGACTTCACAGTGTGCATTTTCTCAACTTCCCTCCTGGTATCATTTTTAAAAATGCTTGTCTTTAATATATCATATCTTGTGTTATTAGCTGCATGTATCCCAATCTCTGTGACCTTTGGCAAGTTATTTAAGAAATAGTAATTACCTTGAGTGAAATGGCATTGACAGGTTCTGCAGTTCAGCTAAATGATGCTTATGGAGGGCTCATCACAGTACAGGCAGGAGTAAACTCACAGTTTGCTGCATGCTCTCACAATGAACCCTTCTTTCCCATCTTTTGGGAAGATTGTCCATCTTGGTGAACACTTGAGAAAAATCAACATGTGCTCAACAAAGCTGGTTTCTTTAGAAACTCAGAAACATGGGCAATAGTTCCAATCTTGTTTCAGAATTGGATGGAGTTATTTGGGGGCTTTGCCACACTCATCGCCATGGTATTAGTTAAGGAGTTGACTGACATAGAGGTGGGGCTATCACACCCCTTTCCATGGTACTGACCTGCTGACTGTCATCTCAGTTGTTCACCATGTGAAACACAGTGTCTCCTCAGAGCACTGGCTCATCTGGAAACTGAGATGACTCTATTCAGGGCCATAGAAACCTCTAGAAGAGTTTCTCATAAGGGTAATAGGTCAGAAGCTATTGGGACATTGGGACAGTAGCACTTTATCCAACCATCAACAATCATGTTGATCAATGTTTAATCAATGGGCTGAACTCTGAGGAGACCCGTGACAGTGAAACTAAAGGTAAGAGTAGCTATTTTTGTTTGCTCATCCCCCTTTGCTCACAGACATCCTGTTTTCCCATCCTGGAAAGTTTAGTCACAGCTCAGGTAGACCATTTCCTGGCCAGTACTGGGTGATGTAATGATCTCACCCTGGATGCGAGAGACCCAGTGACTTGGAACTAGCAGTGGGAGGGAAGGGCTTGGCTGCCCCTATGATTCCCTTGTGTAATCAATCACCTGCTTTTCACCTTGCTTCAGAGAATGGGGCAACCAGGGGTAAGCTCTAATTTAATCTCAGGTATTGTTTCCCTTCTGGCAGACACTCTCTAATGTGGCAGCTACCTAAACCTAGGCAGTCTGTACAGGGCTCATTGGTGGGGTCTACATAGCCTCCCTGTGGATTGGTCTGGACTGATGTGAATGGTATCTCTCCTTCTGACTCCTTGAGAATGTTTTCTTCAAATATCTCCTGGAATGCATATCATAGAGTCCTGTGCAGTCTGATCCCATTATATAGCTTCTTGCTATGATTCTTCCAGCCTGAATAAGTTCTATGACTTCTACTTTACTTACAAGATAATTGATATATGGATTCCCTTCATGGCTCTCCTCTCTCTCCTCCTTATTACTATGAAGGGATAAGCAAAAACACGGTGTCCCCTTGAAATCATCCAGACTTCCCTGGAATACTTCCTATGACTCTATTTTATTGAGTGTGCCAACCCTGAAAGAAAAGCAAGACTCCACACCTCCCCCTTCAGTTCTCCTTAAAGCACCCCTTCATAACCACTGCTACAGTTTTCATGGAATCAATATGCAGGTAATGGGGAGAGAGGGGGCATATTTATAATGGAAGGACCAATAAGGATCTCTTGAAAAGATACTATGGAGATGTCACCATCATCTTCCTTCATGCACTCCCAACAGGCACTATCATTCATTGTTCTTAAATATTCAGGTCAGCAAACCTCCACCCAATAGGAAAACATCATTCAGCACCCCCTCGCACCAGTATTCTTTTGTTACTCTGTGTTAGACACATATAGACATCCAGAGCATAAAGGGGCTTATGGCGCTGGGCGTTGGTGGCGCATGCCCTTAATCCCAACACTGGGGAGGCAGGAGGATCTCTGTGAGTTAGAGGCCAGCCTGGTCTCCAGAGCGAGTGCCAGGATAGGCTCCAAAGCTACACAGAGAAACCCTGTCTCGAAAAACCAAAAAAAGGGGGCTGATGGCTTAGGTTAGAGTTTAGTTGGCGATGTTATGTTCATGAGTGAAGTAAGCACAAATTCAAATTAAAGAGTGGCCTGATGCCATATACTTTGGAAGAAAGAGGAGTTAGTAGTTTTATTTTTTTAATGATGATCTTTCATCAGAAAAGAGAGAGCAGAGAAATACTAGTGGCAACTTCAAGGAAGAGACAGGATTTACTCTAACACAGGAAAAAGGGGAAGATTTCAAAATTGCTTGGGACTACAGAGATGTCTCAGTGGTAAGAGTGGGTACTGCTCTTATAGTTCATGTGTACTGCATTCACAAGCACAATGGCTCTCCAACACATACACATAATTTAATTTTAAAAAAGAGCTTTTTACTAAAAGAAGGACATTTCCAGTGGAGGAAAGTAGTATGCATCAGATACAGCAGATAAGTATGGGATGCCAGGTTTTTAGTTTGACAGCAATGTAGGGTAATGAGAGGAAGCAGCAGATGATACAATCTGAAAATCAAGTTAGGCCAGATCAGAGAAGGGAGTCTTGAATGCCAGGCTGAGAACTGGCAACATTCATCTGCTTCCTCTGAAGTTGAGGGCCACTGGAAGTGACCTCTATAAAGTGACCTCATCAAAGCTCCTTATATTTCCTAGTCCCAGTGGGACTTATACTGGGAAAAGGCAATGTTGTCACAGTTTTGTTATTTACTTATGTATCTGTGTATGCCATGTCTTGTTCCCAGGAGATATCTGCATGCCAGGAGACAGCCATGGGCTTCAGCCCCTATCATTGCCTGCTACTGCAGGCTCTGGGATCTCCCGGGGTTCCTTCCTTTTTCAGCATCATTCATAAATAAATCATTCAAATTGCTTTAAAATACCCAGCATTATAGAATCACTATCACTGATTCAAAATTATTCAGTTAGATGAATATTAATAACAGGTAGTAGAAAGCATAAAACAGGCTTGGAATAGACACTTCAACCTAATAATCAAAATTGATATTACTTATATCATAGAGCCTGGTAAGTTTTTATCATCAGATAGATGTAATAGATGACTTCAATATCAGTTTTGCGTTTTAAGATGCGACATGAAATTGTCAAGGTTATTAATATCCTGAGATGCCTGATATTTTATCTGTTGTTTTTTCATAACACCCCTCACTGCTGAACAAAGGAAAGGTGACAGTGCCATTCTTCTTCGTGCTCTCTGTTGAGACAGTCACCTTTCTCGGTTGTTAAGAGTTAGCATCAGGCCCCGAGTTCCTTGATCAAGAGCACTTTATCAGTGTCACCTCCAAAGAAAGAAGTGAGCAATATCTGCTGTGAGCCATACCTCGCTTCCCAGAGAACCGCACCAGAATAAAACATTAGCATTTGTTCGCACAAGTCAAAGACCTAGCAAAAATCTCGTTTTGTGTCAATGTGAAACAGAGTTGAAAAATGGAAAGTGACCTTTGGGTTTTTTGTTTTTTTAAGTCCTTTCTTGGTTTCTTACTCATTTTTCTATGGACAGAACACAAAACTACAAAGAACTACAAATCTGTTGACAAGTTCTTATGGCAAAGACCTATTTATGATCAGGTTATTATGCTGCAGGTTTAGGGGCTCCAAGCTTCCACTCTCTCCTAATGTTATTTTAAATAAATTAATAAATAATGAGGTTTTAGTTACTATGTTGTCGTTTTCCTATCGTGTTCTTATTTGTGTGTTTCTGGGACTTCACAAACAAACTTACACACATACAAACTTACTTGTTAAGCTGACCATCAGTGTGATGGCCACATCTTGCATGAGATACTGGTAATTACCAAAGAGCTGTAGTTGCTGGAAAAAGAAAGAGCCAGTGTTAGTACCATGCCTGTTACCATAGCGTTTCTCAATTCACATTACTCTTTTTTTTAAAACACTGAGCAGACAGCTGCTGTTTCTTTCTTCTTTTCAAAAAGAAAATATGGACAAAAACCATCAGTATCCCAGTAGCTGTTTTCTTAGTATTTAACTCATTTCTTTACTACCAGTGGCATAATCAGATCCCAGCCAGCCTCCTACTGGCCACGTTTACCCTGACAGGCATCATCGCAGCCTGGACAGCTGAATTCTCAGCACAAGATGTGGAAGTCTGAAAGTTTCTAATGGAATTTTAAACAAAATGTAAAGTCAAGGCCCCAATTCATTTAACTCGGGTAGGTCTCTACTCTTGAGTATGGATTGAGTGACAACATAATTAAGTTGGAGCTCACTCGCATTCCCAATCTGAACAAGGTCTTTCCCTGCTAAACCAGTGGTTCTCAACCTTCCTCATGTTATAATGACCCCAACTATAAAATTATTTTGTTGCTATTTTGTAACTGTAATTTTGCTACTGTTATGTATCATAATGTCAATATCTGTGTTTTCCAATGTTCTTAGGTGACACTTGAGAAAGGGTAGGTCAACTCCCAAAGAGGTTGAGAACCACACCCTAAGTAAACCCACTGCAGACTTCAGTCTGCCACCTCTGCCTTCCTGAGGTCTGGGTACACACAGAACTTAGCTTTACAGTTGACAGTTTTGGAGATGAGCTCATAAGGCCAAAAGGTCAAAACATAACTCTCGAGGAAAGGCTTTGCTAGACCCTGAGCAGCCAGGGTGGTGACCTGCTTCAGAGCTAGTGACTGAGTTCTACCCTATAATCTGATTTTGCCTTGTTGCAGATGTTTGCGTGTGAATACACACTGGCCTTTCCAAAGGCTCTGTACTAGGGTCCAGGTTGAGGTACTCGGAGGAGGCTCCAAACAGCAGTGGATAGCTGCTGCATGGTCTGCTTCCAGCGCCACCTCAGGCTCTCACACTCTGCATCCAGTTTTATGAAAAGGTAGGTACATCGTGCCTCCTGATCCCCCACTGTTCTTTATCTAAAGCCTCCTGTGTGTGTGTGTGTGTGTGTGTGTGTGTGTGTGTGTGTGTGTTCATGCACACTTTTGCATGCATATGTGAGAGTATTAAACACATTCTGGGTGCACCTGCATGTGAAGGGGTATGTGTCTGTGTACCCATGTGTGGAGGCCAGAGGTCAGGATCAGGTGTCTCCCTCTGTGGCTCTCCACCATTTTTTTTTTTTTTAGATGGTCTCTCACTAGACCTGGAGCTCACCAGTTAGCTAGGCTGTCTGGCCATTGAGTACCTAGGATCCCCTTGTCCCCACCTTCCATCACTGCAACTATAAGGTATGTGTTACCAAACCCAGCTTTTTGTACGGGTGCTGGGGCTCTGGACACAGCAAAGCACTTCACCGACTGAGTCATCTCCCTGGTCCCTGGCTATTTCCTCTTATCCTTTCCCCTCTGCATGGGAAAATTACATAGAAATAGAAACACAAGGAAAACTGTCCAACAGCAGTTTTAGGGTTTTTAATAAGAACAGCTATCATAGAACTGTGGAGAGTTTGAAAATAGGTCACTAACTTTCCAGTGGTGGGAGTTGGCCAAGGGCAAGTCCTGCTTTGCATTTTGAATGGAGGAAGGGCTTGAATGAGGTTCCCTGACCACTCCCCACCTGCTGGCCATTTAGCATCCCACTTGTGTCCTTGCCAGCAGTAACCAACAAGATGCCTGAATCCTGGTCTCCTCATTCACCTGTTAAATACCCTCCCAAAGCAATAATACAGCTTAATTCCCCATGTGTCCTTTGAGTCTGTGGGGTTGTTTTATTGTAGAGCAAACTACGCTTGAAATAATGAAGACTATTTTAAATCTACACGCAGATCCTCTATGGAGCTCACTTCTAATGGCTGTCACCACTTGTTTTTCAGAGGCCTTTGTAGTTTTAAGGACTCGCCAATCCTTTGCTGATGATGCGTCTAACACTATTGAATTCTGGGTAGGTACAGGAGCACAGCCCCCCTGTGGGAGATTTTCAGCATTCCCATCCTTCAAAATCAAATTCAAAAACTTCTCTTCCTTTTTATCCCTTTTTGAGTCTTTTACCAAAAATATTCCACAGTTGGAGGCAGATTCATTTCCTGCAGAGTTATATTTAGGCTGCTCTCAAGTTCTGTTTAGACCCCAAGGAAGAGCCAGGGGCTGGTGAAGGTCAAGTCTCAGGTTATCCAGAGATAAACCAACAACCTAGACAAAATTTCCAGGGTTATTGACTTCTAGCGTTGGCTTGCGTGAAGCACCCTGGGTTCTCAAGTTTGTAGCACCTGTTTCTGAGAAATGTCATGTATTTATAAACATTAAATAGGGTGCAGAATCCACATCCCAAAGCTATAAATACAATTAGAACTGAGAAGAAATGATTTTAATTCATACCCAGTAGAGAAGTGATGTTCCAATAAACTGGATGATGCCATACATGGTCAAGTATTTAAATACGCCAAAGGATGAAACCAGAGCAGCTCGGCCCTCCCTGTTCAGAACAAACAAACACAAAATCTGCTTATCCAGCCCCTAGTCTTTATATTTCAAAAGGAGTTCATTTAAAATTGTTTTCATTCTTTGAAAGTTTCACATATGTATATAATGCATATAATACATTTGGTAAGTCATCTCTCCGCCCTCTCATATCTCCTTCCTGCCCTTACCAAGACCCTTACCCCTTGCACCAAGTCCCTGTTCCACTTTTGTGTCTTTATGGTTTTTGTTTCTTCTTTGTTTTTTAAGCCATTATATAATAGGTTTGACCAGAGCCACCCATATGAGCATGGGTATGAAGCTAACCTCTGAGACATGAGTAACTCACCACTGATTACATCTCCAAAGACAGCCCTTGAGCGACAGTAGAGCACCATGGAGTTCATGACTGAATGTTTAGGGATTAGGTTTTGTGCATGCCCTATGCCGGCAACTGTAACTGTTAATGAGTTTATGTGTGGCTCAACAATCTCACACTCATAACAAAAACCTATTGTTCATCTCTTGCATTCATCCTGCCCCCTCTTCCATGATAACCCCAGGCCTTAGAGTGTGATGTGAGTGACCCACTAAATGAGGTAATACAAGTGACCCACTTAAGGGTAAGCAAAGAGTTTGTATTTAAGAGCTTGTTGATATATAACCACTTAGCCATCTATTCATTCTTTCAATTCTTGTTTATTTTATGTTTACCTTTTTTTTTTACGGAGCTGGAAATCAAATCCAGGTCCTTCCACATGCAAGGCAAGTACTCTACCACTGAGTCATCTCCTCAGGAAATTATTTAATCTTTTTTGTATGTTTTCTTAAATTTTTATTTGTTTGTGTATATGTTTCATACATACTAATACACAGGTACATATACCCATACATGTGGGGACCAGATATTACTCTCTACCCAGTGGACTGAGACAGAGTTTCTCACTGAGTTGGAACTTTGTTGTTTGGCTAAGTGGCTAGTTGGGGCGCTATTAGGATCCACTTGTCTCTGATCCCCAACACTGGGGTTCCAGGCAGACAAAGCCACACCAAGCTTTTTATGTAGGTGCTTGGGATTTGAAGTGAGGTCCTTAAGCTTGCATACCACATACTCTGACCCACTGAGACATCTCTCCAGGCCCTTGTTTTATTCATTGAACTCCTGATACTTCTGCCTCCACCTCCTGAATACTGGATTACTGGTATCCACTGTTGTATTCAGTTCTAGGAATCAAACCCAGCATCTTGTCCATGACAGGCAAGCATTAACTAATTAACTATATCCCATGACCTATTTAACCTTTCATCCATTTGTTCATTCTCTTCAATCCTTGACCAACTTTTACTTAGGTCTTATGAAGTGCCAACATTACACTAACAATCATTACAAAAGGATACGAAATGAATCTGGCCCTGTGTCTTTTCTGTAAAGTAAGAGTATTGTGTACATTCTATGCATAATACAGCATTATGATAATCTGCCATGTCAAGCATTGACTTGGTCCTAATTCCTTCTATCTTAGCATGTGCTTCTTGGAATTGAATTAGTTTTATCAGCTCTCAGATACATGAAGCTAAAAGATGCTCTTACAAAGTATGGAATCAACACTAAAATTTGAATTCTGATGTTTTTGCCATCTGTGATATCCCTGGAAAAAACTAACGTCATATTCTGAACTGGTGAAGAGATCAAAAGATCAAGACAACTCTAGAAACTACAGCTTTGAAACTGCATATCCTTTTTGTTGGGGGGAACGGCCTGTAGCTGAGGTTTGTTGGATGGCAGTGGATCAGAGGACAGTGTGAGAATGTAGCTTGATGGTTCTGCAGCTTCTTCTTGCCAGGGCAGACATGAGCCCACGTGTATTTAGCTTTGTTTCTAGTCCCTAGTGACACAGGCACCTGCTCAGCTCAGAGATGTTACAACTATATGGAAACATAAAATGGCAAACCTGGAAGCCAAACTACTAACTACTTGCCTCAGGCAATATGAGTGTTAGGATGGGAGATGGGCCAGGGTACTTCAGGCAGATGTTTTCCACCAGGCTGTGAACAGCTAGCATTTGTTTTCAACAGAGGATGGAGAAGAAAACAGGCTGAGAAAAGAATACAAAGCCCGAATTGTTTTCCCAAGGCTGACATAAACATTATGATTTCATCTTTTTTTCCCTCTAGAGTTGTATATAATTTCAAGAAAATTAAGACAACCAGAGTCAAAACAAAGTACAAAACATGGTTCTGAGGGCAGGATAAAATTGTCTTTATGAGCTTCCAGGACTACTGCTACTCTTAATGATTATGAATTTTAGTAGCTCATACATTTATCGGCACATCCTGCAGTCATGCATCTAATGTTCTGCTATACCAAGCTTAGAGCTAGATACAATGCTTGATACAGAATTGAAAACAGATAACAGCTTTCCCTTGAGGACTTGAACTGTAACAACCAGCACGGCTCATGCTCTGAAGAATGACACCGAAACCTGTGGACCTAGACCTATTCATGTAAGCCTTGTACCCCATCACCCTTCTAGAATTCATTCTCAGGAAAAAGCATGTGTGGAGAATACCAATGGATAAAAGAACTGAACATGGAGCCATATCTAATTTTTTCAGACTTTGAAATACAAAAGGAAAGAAAGTCTACCCTGACATCTTAACAATAAGCCATCTGCCCCTAACAAATTTTATATCATTCCTTGTATTCTAAACCAACACACTTCATTCTAAGTACATTCTAGATGTATAATACATTGGGTCATCGTCATGATTTGCGGGTACAGGAGATGATAGTGCTAAAGAGTACAGAAGAACACAGGTGTAGGTGCCCAGGGATGAAGGATATAACCCAGATGCTTGACTGATGCACAGGAAGGACAGGGTAGTTCAAGCTTGATGATTTCCTACCAGTCATTTCTTTGAGGCACCAAGAAACATAATGGAGAACCATGTGATTTTCCTTTCAGGGTAAGCTGAATGATGACTTCCAGCCCACTGGACATGGAGATGCCCAGTTACCCCCAAGTATACCAGGAACAGCAGGGGGGAAAGATTTATGAACAAAATGTAAAAGTGGATGCTTTATTCTTCATTACACTTAAGATTTAAGGAGAAATGAGACTAGAAATGAGTAAAGCGAAGGAAAGCAAACATATGTCCCTTTCCCCCCCTTTCTCCAGTGAAGTATAATTCCTTCTATGTCATCATCCTAGATGTTTTTGAATTTTTATTTTAGAGTTGTACAATAGTACTGGGGAAAGCTATCTAATGACATATTCTCATCATTTTCTCCCCCACCCCAAACTCTTGGTATAATATCACAGAAGGCATCCAGTATAGGAAGGTAGGAGAAAGAGAAGACAACTATCAAGTTTTAAGTATCAAAGCAAGATTTTTTTAGCAGTCTACCTAACACATCCATCTATTTCTTAAAACTCACTGAAAATCAACTTTTCAAGCAACCATTATAATTCCTTGGCTAATGGGCCATCAGCACTAAACCCACACCTGCCCTGGCCTTTATGACTTCCAGTTAGTGTCCAATTCCATCTATTTCCAGAACCAGACAATGAGCCATGGTGATTACCTGATGCTTTAGAGAGGAAGAGGTGGCTTACCTGATGAGATGAGGCACACATTCGATATTGGCTGTTTTCGAGGTGAAGGGAGATGCCACAGATGCTTCCTGTTCTGATAGCGAGATGCCTGCATGAGCCATTTTCAAAGCCTAGAATGATCCACCCAAGTCAAACTGTGACACTTCAGACCAGGCTCTTACTACTCAAATACCAAGGCTATTTGTCACATCAGTTCAATGCTGCATGTCATACTTTGAATGTAATTGGCCCCCATAATCTCACAGGAAGTAGCACTATTAGGAAATGTGGCTTTGTTGGAGGAAGTATGCCACTATGGGGGTGGGCTTTGAGGTTTTCTATGCTCAGGATACTGCCCAATGTCTCAGTTGACTTCCTGTTGCCTACAAGATATAGGACTCTTAGCTATTCCTCCAGTACCATGTCTGTCTGCATGCCACCATGCTCCTCTCCAATGATGATAATGAGCTGAATTAAATGTTTTTCTTTATAAGAGTTGTTGTGGTCATGGTGTCTCTTCACAGCAATAGAAACCCTAAGTAAGGAGCTGTGCCTCTCCATATTCAGACCTCTATTCAAGCTATCCCTTTATCTGTGTATCCTCTCTCTCTCTCTCTCTCTCTCTCTCTCTCTCTCTCACACACACACACACACACACACACACACACAATGAAAAACAAATTAAATCTTTAAAAAAGGATGACAGAATTTGAGTGATCATGGGGACTTCTACTATCTCAATTCTTACTCTGAGAAAGGCCATCTCAGTGAAAAAGGGGGATATCTAATTCCAACTTTCTCTGCTGATGATCCAACTGGCTAACTGCTGGTAAAGAGTGTGGGGCACTAGATGCCCAAATCAGGCCACATATACCCACAGGCACATGGTGGCACATTGCATCACAGATATGTGGGCTCTTCAATTTCCTATGAAGGCTAAAAGCTGTCCAGCAAACATACAGAAGACTAGCCCATTGGCAAGCCAGAGAAGGCCTCTAATCTCACAGAAATTATATGACTGTGAAATGAGATTTTGTATTCAGGTTGCTCTATAGTGCATGGGCTCATGGTTTGTTATGCGGTAGATTCCAGCTCTGTAACTCTTAGAACTCTTCTCTTTTCTCCCTTAGTGTTTTATGCCTCTTCTGTGTAATTTAAGGTCATCTGCTGTATGTCTGGGTTAATTTTGTGTGTGATTCCTCCATCAGATAATCAGATAATCACCTTTTGGGGCAACAGAGACTATGTCATTTTGATATTTTTTTGTTTTGCTGTAAATCTCACATAATTAATAGCAGTAGGTATTCACCCTACATTGAATGAATAGAATAACATCTGTCTTCTTATGAAACACAGGCAGTTTCAGTATGAACACTACTTTTAACAGGCACTGGAGAAAATATTTAAGAGGAAACTAAAATTAATAGCCAGATCCTAAATATTTAATAAGCTTGGGACTATATACATATATAAATGCTCTATCATCTGTTTGTCTATCATCTATCTCTATCTTTATTAATCTATCTCTATCTATCCATCATCTACCTATCTATCTATCAATCTACCTACCTACCTACCTATCTATCTAAAGAATATGAGGCTATTTTCTTTCCCTCTGTGCTCCCTCCCTGGTCTCTCTCCTCCTCTTTATTCTGCTTTTCAGTTTCACACTATTTTGATGGGTTGAACACTACACATCCTAGGCAAGTGCTTTACTATTCCTCTCTAACCTCAGCCCTATTCTTCAATTCTTGTATCTATTAAAGTTCAGAAATAGTCCTCCAAGCCAACTGCTATTTCACCCACATCTTCCCTTCTGCTGGGAATGAAGAATAACCTGAGACTCGTTTAAGTTTAGTTTTTGTTATAGTGTGTAAAAACCATACCGCTTAGGATTTTATAACAATTTGGGAGAAACCTAATTTTCAAAAATTAACCTCAGAGTGGGTTTGGTGGGAATAAATGCAATTTACACATAATTAAAAACTTTATGAGTTTCACCCTTTTTCTTCTCTAAGGCATTGCCCATGCATTCTCTGTGCACCTTGTGCAAAAGTATGCCCCCTCCCAGAGGCATCCTCTTCTTATCAGTGACATTAAAGGCTTAAGCCAGATAGTCTTGTAAAGTCCTCAATGGATCTAAACTTTGGGAGTGTCAACAGGTCACTTTATTATTCTGGGAATTGACAGAAGGCAGTGGAAGTGACACTACCTCTTTCTGGTTCCAACCCGTGTTCAGGGAGAGGTAGGCATGACCGAGTGGCTGCTGGGGGAAGGATGAAGAGGCCCCAGGGTTCCTTGGGGAGTGCAAGAGAGATTCCGCAGTGCTGCCCGTGTTAGATGAAGTTATGTGTACTCACCCCACAGTCATTGGCTCCATCTCCACACATGCCTACACAATAACTACAAAGGAAAAGATACAAGAAACAACAGGTCAGACGTTCTCTTGAATAACTTCCACTATATAGTGTGTGTGTGTGTGTGTGTGTGTGTGTGTGTGTGTGTGTGTGTGTGTGTTCTGAACAGTTGTGGAATCAAGAGAATGACTTGAAGATCCTTGATTCAAGAGGGGAAAGCCCCCTCCAACTTAATTTGTCTCAATCACTGAAATGACTGTGATAACATCAGGGCCATCAGCAATGATGTAATCACACATTTGAAAAGAAAGTCAGGTTGACTATGTCCGCCATATCAAGCTCAAGGGCATGGAGTCATGATTATAATGAGGTCACGATTACAGTACTTCTCACTCAACCTAAGAGGCAGAGCGTAGCCTAACCTGGCCCAGTTGCTCTCACTGCTGCTGAAAGTTCACTTCTACCACTAGTATACAACTAGGATTCACATGTTCTCAATGTGTTTCAGAGTGACAGGTGATGAGCACCCCTTGTATATCAGCTTGATATGTAGCCAGGATCTTGTGGTGACATGTTATTTATGATTTAATAAAGATTGTCTGAAGTATCAAAATGCAAAGCCACACACACTAGTTAGCCATAGAATCTGAGCAGTAGTGGCCACACCTTTAATCCCAGGACTCAGGAGACAGAGGTAGATGGATCTCTCTGTGAGTCCAAGGCCACCCAGACTTGATTGAATTAGTCTAAAAGAGAATTAGAGCTCATACCTTTAAATCCAGCCCTAGAGAGGTATATAAAAGACAGGAGCCCAGTGTCTCAGGCTGCATTCTGAGATTTAGTCTCCAGCCACACTGAGGAGAGGCAGGAGTTTGAGGCTTGGTGAGAGCTCATGGAGACAGGATCAACCCTTTCAGTCTGAGGTAGAAGTAAGAACTAATGGCCGGCTGCTTTGCTTAGACTCTGATCTTGAACCCCAATATCTGTTTCTAGGTTTTTATTATTTGTGTTACAGGATCTTAACGGAACGATAAATTTTAAGTTGCTGCCAGAGAAAAGGGATTTCTTATGCCGAGTCCATTGGGCCTTCTATTACAAGTGAATGACACATTATCAACAGTGACTCGTGGCAATGCTGTAAATGATGCAGTAGCATCTTTCCAAAATCAGATAGTAAGTGATAAAGTGAAGTTTTGTTACAATATCCTTATTATTAGTTGGTCCATAAGAAGTCACTCTTTTGACCTTCTCTATAGTTCAAATGTGGTCTGACATAGACAAATTCAGCTTAATGCTGGGCTAGTGAAATCAAGTGCTTGCATTCCATCTCATAGTGTCATCACGCCCTATAGTCACCTAATTGACTTCTCCCCCTCAAAACTTAAAGCCCATATTGAGGGTCTGCATCCCACCAAGAAGAGTAACCAAGAATCATATCTCCTAGTGTTTCCTGCTTTTAGAAGGAGAATCCAGAGAGTTTGATATGCACGGCCAAGAGTAAGAACTCAATGAGGATGATGGGTAACCGGGGAGACAGCTTGCTCTGTCTCAGTGTGTGTCTTCCTAAGCGAATTGTGTTTCAGGGGTATATGGCTTTCCTCGTGTCAGCAAACAACATCTCTCAGGCATCTGAGACAGGGAAAATCACTCTCTTTAGCCATTGTCATGTAATGATTGTGTGAATGAGCTAGCCACATACATCTGGCCACTTACACAGCCTGAAAGCACAGGAAAACTAATAGAAGGCATTTGAGACTTTGCTATGAAGCTGAGACAGACTCGTGACTCCCATATGAGTTAGCAACAATTATCTTGTTTTACTACTTCTTGTGCCTTTTTTTTTGTTTTTGTTTTTTTTTTTCTGTCTGAAGCCTTCAGGCTAGAAACTGTAATACTTTCCAGAGGTAACAACAGGTAGTTCTGACCTCAGCAAGAACTTCCCATTCAGACTTGACTTGGTTATCAGTGCTCTGAGAGAGTTCTGGATCTGCCCTCTGCCTCTGGTCCCTGCCAGCTACCATTTCATTACACGCCAAAAGGATCTGAAATGATCACTTATCACTTACTGGATCAAGTTGATGGCTTCGGGAGAGAACTCACACACTTTCCAATTCTGAGCTACACTAACCCTCATTAATTCTCCTCTTCGCATTTAAGCAGGTAACCCTCCTGCAAGGCTTTATGGCCATAAACTGAGTGTTCTTGGGGGGGGGTAGAAGGTGTCTAAGATGTACCTCAATTGTTCCTATCTCCTGAGCTTCATATTAGTGAGAAACCCACTCCCTTGAGTATGGGTGGGACCTAGTGACTTACTTGGAATGAAAAGAAGGCAGCCAACTATTCTAAGATAAGGGAATAAAAAATGCAACACTATCCCTTCCTTTCCCCCTCTCTCTCCACCCCCACTCTATCATCTGTCATCACCATCATCGTCATCATCATCATCATCATCATTATTTCTATCATTCTCACCCTACATATAGAAGCCAGTGGTAACATTAGCCTGTTTTCTGCAAAAATGACCCACATCTCAAGGAGCTGAGAACAACTTCTTCCATTGAGCAGTAAAAGCCACTGTCTCTCTTCCAACACATGAGAAGAGCTTAACCATGTGAGAGGTGGCTGCAGAGCCACCCTCCTAGCACCGTCAAACTCCAGTTCTGATTAACACCTGATTACGTCCTTTCATAATGACAATCTTGGTTCAGGAACCAAGACTTACGTGAGCCACATCTGGATACCTGGTCCACAGAAACATAAAACAACCAATGGCATTACCCTTAGACACTATGGGGTGGGCAGGTATGCAGCCATAGAGGACAGGCAGGGCCTCTTTTCCACTCTGCCACTTACTTTAGTTTCTGAAACTCTTCTACAAGGCTGGATTTCTGTCCAGGAGACATCCTTGCAAAAATGGTTCCATTGACCAGAATCTAAAGAGAAAAACAACCATCCTAGCAAGATTAGGAAGGAGAATGTTTCAAAAGTGAAAATTCTGAAAAGTCATTCCTGGCCTTTGATTTAGCACTGTGCTGTTGTGTGTGACATTAGACCCAATGCCACGAATCGGAATGTGGGAGTTAATGCTTTGATATTGAACTTTAAGTCCTCCATCACAACTCCATTACTTTTTTGCTGGGCCCAATTACTTTTTTTTTTCTTTTCCCCAAGAAGGGGTAACTTCTCATTAACATAGCAATTAAGAGGCACCTGAGCAATTGGAATAAAATTCTTTGGGGAATGCAGCTCATTTCACTACACACTGTCTGTTGCCACAGACACAGAAGAGAGCCACAGACCAGACATGAAAACTGGGATTCTGCACCCAGATGTGTCCCAACTTACTGTGCAAACCTAAGTTAAGTGACTTAACCTCTCTGAGCTTCAGATTCCTATCTCCACAATAGGGCCTGGAGAAGAGCTTTCTCAAAGCCTTTAGGCCCCATGTGCTACAGTCCTTGGAAGATAAGGTGGCAGAATATTTTAAATTCTGCTAACAGATGGTTGCTACCCTCAGTTTGTATGTCACATGTCTCCAGCACACTGACAGTGGAACCCTTTTCAACACTATTTTAAAGCAGGACACACAGAGGACAAGATAATAAATGATTTCGAAAATAAACCATGGTGCTTTCGCTTCCTTCTGCTGTAATTTAAGACTCCAGACAGCAGGGGAACGGAGTTCCACCTGACACAGGCTAGTGGCTTTCAGAGAGACTAATGTACAAGGAAGGATGATGTGTGGATCTATTCAGAAGCTGAGCCAGGTGGGGAAGAAAGAAAGGAAGGAGGAAGGGAGGGAGAGAGGGAAGGAGGGTAGGAG